TTTTTTTCAATCAAATTTGCTAAGACTGATGAAGGCGTGGTTCCTGTAGAAAAATAGTAAGAGACTGGGAACTGAAATTTAGAACCACAATGAAAAACAATATAAATAAAAAGAAAAATTAACCAACCTTGACCTTCTTGTTTCTGAGCAGAACAACGAAAAAAATAAGTGCGTGATCCGCCAATTCTTTGGTGGTCTCCTCTCCTGGCCCATAATCGCTAAATCCTTGAAATTTTTTCCACTTTGAGGACCACATCAAAAACTCATCAATGGATAATTCATCCCACAAGAGAACTGCGTAACAGTCCCTTTCATCCTCTAAATCTGATGTAAAATCTCCAACACCCTCCAATATAGGCTCAATTATTCCTGGTTCGATGCTTAGCCCTTGCGTGAAACGAAGAAGAGTTTTTTTTGATGGAAGAATGAACATGTCACTGACAGCCGCTCTTGCTCTTCGTCCCCCTTTCTGAAGACCCATGGTGAGTATAAGGTCTTGTCGATCATATCTTCGACCTTGTGGCTTCACCTATTGAGATTAAGTTATTATTTCATTAAAACATCATTATTATATGAAATCTTACTTTCTGAAGCTTGATTTGTCGATCAATAAAATCGACGCATTTTGTAGGCAGGTGTTTTCGTAAATAGAGTATGGCAGCTTCCTTCGAAGCAGGGTTGGTGGCTTTTCTTTTAAGCCTCATCTTTTTCAACCTCTTGACCTCTTTGTTCTTCTTCTTTGCAAATGCAATCAAACTCTTTCTGTCAAGCTTTTCAAATAGTGTTTTCTTGGCTGGAAAAAGAAAAGATAATATTTAATAAAGCGTATGGTCCTCCGTAATTTTTTTTTTTTTTAATATCTTTTTATGTTACATGGATTTGCTGGTAGTTGTTTTTGACGTGGAGGTTGCTGTTCTTGTGCATGACGTGGTGGTGATGGTGATTCTTGTTGAGGTGATGCTACTTGTGGTTGTTGAGGCGGTGATAGAGGCGGTTGTGTTGGAGTTTGCTCGTTCTCAGATGCTGCTACCTGTTGTTCATGTGGTGGCTGTGGTTGCTGCAGGGTAGCGGTTACTTGCGGCAAAGTCCGAGGTGGGTACGCATGTCCGGATCGTGGTGGAGGTGGTAGTATTTGTCGTACTTGTGGCTGTTGAGGTGGTGTTGGACGAGGTTGTTCTTGTGGTGGTGTCGTAGGTGTATCGTTCTCGAATGGCGGTGCTACCTGTTGTTCATGCGGTGGCTGTGGTTGCTGCAGGGTAGCGGTTACTTGCGGCAAAGTCCGAGGTGGGCACGCATGTCCGGATCGTGGTGGAGGTGGTAGTATTTGTCGTACTTGTGGCTGTTGAGGTGGTGTTGGACGAGGTTGTTCTTGTGGTGGTGTCGTAGGTGTATCGTTCTCGGATGGCGGTGCTACCTGTTGTTCATGCGGTGGCTGTGGTTGCTGCAGAGTAGTGGTTACTTGCGGCAAAGTCTGAGGTGGGTACGTAGGTGGTGGAGGTGGTAGTTCTTGTTGAGATGGTGTTTGTTGATGCTGCGGTAATGATTGTCTATGTTGTTCGTCTGTTGGTTTCCGACCAAAAGGCTTCGACCGATTTAAAGGCAGATGAGGCAAAACATATTGTTTCACCACTTCTGCCTTGAGATTCTTCTTGGACGAAGGGCACCCTTGAAGCAGATTGTATGCTGTAGATCCACCAAAGCTGGAACTATTCAGTCTCTGAATTTTTTTTCTTGGTTTGTATGGAGACCCTGGAGAAGTTGCAGGCTCCAGCTCAGAGTTATCATTCAAAAATCGATAATTGTCTGCTTGCGAAGAAATTTGCAGCTTTCTTGTTCTTGGGCCTCTGGCTGGCAGATAGGGTGATGAAGGCGTTTCTTGCTGAAATTGTGGTGAAGCCTGACAGTTTTCTCCTATCAGACCACAGCTGGAATCCGAGTTCAATGGGCGAAGTGGTGTACGAGGAGAACTTCTAACTGGTAGCCTTGGTGATGAAGATGGTGTCCATGACTGCAGCATCTGAGGCGAAAGGTTTTGATTCTCGACGGTTCGAGGGTTGTTCATTGGTGTTCTATTACCTACATTGAAAATAAAATTAATTATTGTACGAAGCTTCAAAATAATCATAACAAATCATGTAAGATCATATTTCTTAATGCTTTATTAGCTTTCTGTGCATAATTATTTTTCTTACATGATGATTGAAAGTGTTCAAAAGAAGTATCAGAATCAGAAGTGGTTCTCTCATAAAATAATATGTAACCTGTGTCACTTTTCTGGCTGTCACCATCCAGTACAGTGAAGGAGGACACCTGCAGGGAAATGTACTGATAAAATTGTAAGATATGTGAATTTCGCTTACTTTCGAATCGTTGTAAATATTGATCGTACCATCTTGCATTAGACTTTGACAAATATAGTGTCCTTTGCTCAAATCACCTTCATGATGGATGATGGCTTTGCAAAAAAATGACACCTCCTCAGTTCCATTTTTTTTTATAATTTGGCCATCTTTTAACGCAAAGATACTCTGCTTCAACGTCAAACCATAGTCCAAGACAATTTCACCAGAGTCTTTCAAAAGCTGGTTGGCCTGGTTGCTGAACCTAAATTTTTATTATTGAAGTTGAATAGAGAATAATTTAGTATGAATATAATATCACTTATTCAATCCATACCAGATCCCGTATTAATTAATTCTTTGAAATGAACACACCACCTGATGAGGCACATCAACACAAAACCACAGACATCACTTTTTCAACACCACCAATAACATTCCTTCACCCATGTACCTACAAAATGAAATCACAAAGTAAAATGTTCTTTTTTTAACTCTAAAACTTCCCTGATAACAAATAAAAATAACGCTTGCAAAAAAAACAAGACGAGTTGAAAAAATAAAAGTTATGTTCTTCTCAGTTTTGTTAGTCACATAATGGGTCTGCACATTTTCATTTGGATTGCTGGAAACAGAAACAAAATTAATTACAGAGTAAATAATAATAAATTGAAAAAATAATAAAAAACATAAATTAAATAAATCCCCGTTACACAACGCTCATCAAAATTTGAATCAAAATCACCTTTTCAGTTGAATTACCAAAACTTTTGGAAGCTCCTGAAAATAAATTATTTCCTTTTGTGGAGTTCCTCTGTGGCAATGTGAGCAATACGGCTCATGAACGCAGCTATCGTCACTGTTCATGTAAATACGCAGAGCTTCCTTCAAATCAGATGCCATGGGTAGGCAAAGGTCGTACATGGGCTGACTTAAATACCGGGTTTTGCCGCACACTAAACATTGACCTGCATATTGTTTTGGAGGATATTGATGCAATGTAATTCTAAATATATATTTTAATCTTACGCTCAAAAACTTCTTTGCCCTCGAAAACTTCACTCACTCCCTTCTTATCCAACGACTCAATCTTTTCGAGTAACATTCTGTGCAATTCCATGGAGTCCTGCTGTAAACCTTCGTCAAAATCTTTTGTGCCTATAAGAATAATAGTCTAATCCAATAAGGTTCAAATGTTACTTTTTTAACTTACTCCAAATTTGTGTAAGCAAGTCCAAGGGTGTGAAAGGCTCAGCACAAGTTTTTGTTACCTCACGACCAACTTCTTTCAGCAAGCAAATAATGCAACTTTTAGACTTCAAGAGTTGGCAACTTTCTTCTTTGTGATTATTAAGCAGCATCCAAATCCAGCTGCATGCAAACCAAGCCTAAAACAAATAACCATGGAAATAATAGCAGCCAATTGTAGCCTCTGTGAAATACATTGACAAAGTACTTCTTATTTTTTTTATATACCTGGCAAAGTGAATTTATATAGCATGAGTTCCCCATATTCACCAATCCTCGCAATGGACCGTCAACAGCATCAAATGTTTTTCGTATTGAACAATCCAAAGACTCCCCAATTGGATTGACATCTTCCACATCTGGATCTAGATTTCTCGTCGGTAAAGCTGGCATCTGATAGTATTACACATTATTTTCATAAAACTTCAATGCATAGCAATCTCTTATACTCAAGTTTCTTACCCATGGCTTAGGTACTGCATCTTTGATCAGTTTACCATTTCCGTAAAAAAATTTTATGTCAAAGTGTTTGACACAACATCGAATATCTGTTCGCTCATCATCAGCAGGCAAGCCCATGTTTATCAACCATTGTCTTCTACGCCTATAAAAATTGCTCTTATTAGTATGTAATTTTGAATTGAAGGAAAATTGCAAACTCACTAAATTAATAAAATCTGAATAAAATCATAAATACGGACACACATTATATGGATACAATAATAGTTATAAAAAATATATCGAATTCTTAGTATTAATAATATTCAAAAATTAATTTTTGTAATAATGTTACTCACTCAGCATTATTTATACTTGAAGCCTTTGGAGCACATTTAAGATCAATTCCATTTAATGAAGTGCTATCACAATCAATGTAATGGCACTTCCTAACTTGAACGTTTAGATGAGATCTTCCCGTCTTATTAACTGTTTCAACTTCCACCGATGGCATTTTTCTTTTCCCTTCATCATCATTCTTGGATACAGCCAAAATCATCCCTGGTACAATTTGAAATCAATTGGGTGAGACTTTTCGGTATTCTGCAAATGAATCAATAAATAATAAAAAGTATGTAATTCAATTCTGTCGAGAGTGCCGAGCCGAGTAGCTGCGACTAAAAACAATTATGCAATATTTATGTACATTTCTACATTTAAAAAAAGCCAATTAGAGCTGAAAAACAATAAATCATTAATGATTTATATTTTAATTCCACTCCAAAGTAATTCTATTTTAACTTACGAACAGTCTGAGAATTTAGCTTGTTAGAACTTGATAAATAACAAATCAATCAAAACAATCCCATGAGGTATTATTTTATGTACTTTCAATCGTTTTCCGCCTTCTAGCGCCATCTATTGGAAAACGAAATAATGATAACAACCAATGAAACGGTCACGTGACCAGCCAGTTCACAAGTATGAACAGTGGTACAAACCTGCGCATAGGAGTGAACAGGCCGTGTTGTCCAGATTTCATGGCGTCGAACGGAGTTTCCTAGGGAAAGTGTCTCCGTTTCACCCTTTTTTGCTTTTAACTGGTGAGTTTTGAAAATTCTTGAGGTGGAAATTGCATGTCCGTACAAGTATTTGTCCGCGTTCGTCCGAGGGTGGAGGAAAAACGGAAAAGCACCTGTTGTTTCGGTGCTTGGTGAACGGAGACGGGGGGGGGGCTGGGTTTGTATTTGTACACAAACAAACGTGCAATTTAGCGTCTCTTCCCAAATTGGCCGTGAACCGCGACTAAATATTGGCTGGTTTGCAGAATGAGACTGATCTGACGACTCTCTGGCAGCCACCGTTGACAGCTGAACTCTCCGTCCAAGAAGTGAATTGCATTTCAGAACTGAAAAATGGGTAAGACAACACCCTTTTCCTGGGGCATTTAAATTTGCATTCCATTCATGACTCGATGTATTGTGACAGAGTGCAATGTTAAGCGCGAGAGTGACTCACATGAAGGTGAAATCCTTGGAAATATTATTTATTGCAATGAAATTTTATCGTATCCGAGGATTTGAAATAGTTTATATTACAAAATGAAAATTTATTTTTAATGACAAATAATAATTTGGTAGAAAATCCGTTTTATCAGATTTTTATAAATAATGCTCCTAAAAGAATTAAAATAAATAAAAATATTTATACGAAGGAAGGCAAAAGTGTGTTTGAAAATCTTTTGAGATAATATTTTTTGAATTTAAAAATTTCACAAATTCATTTTTTAGTTGAATTGTACGATCGAGGATTGATTCATGATGATTTGAATTTAAAGTCAGCTTTTCCTCAATGGTTTTTGTGAGTTGTTTGTTGTTAAAGAAAAAAACAATTATCCTTTTTTAAACAACTAACAACTCACAAAACCCATCGAGGAAAAGCTGACTTTAAATTCAAATCACCACAAAAAATATTTTTTTACTTCTCTTTTTGAAATTGTTTTTCTCGTTAAAATCCTTGTGATATTTGATCTATTTTTGTTTCTTTATTGTATTGAGGATAAATGTGTTCTAATTTGAATTTAAGAGGTTCAAATTTGACAAAGAGAGCGTGCCGAATGGGAGAAACCTTCTTTGAAAAAAAAATAATAATGTGACTAATCTTGAGTTGAGACTAATTGTGTCAGCAACGTCACAGGAAATGTGCAGTTACTCCAATTTAGCATGGCTTTAACGACGCTGCCTTGCTCGAGAGGAAAAAGCGGAGTAAATTAATTAGATTTTCCTAAGTGTATTTTGAAGTTTTTTAATTAAAAAAAAATATAATTATTGAATTTAAAAGATAATATTTAGAGCACGTGGAGATAATCCGAGCTGTTTTGAATGGGAGCCGCGGGCAGCACCGGTGTCGGGAATTAATCTTATCTGGGCGTGTGAAGTTGTGAGAAACGCGTCGAGTGTGACACTCACAAGTCAGTCATTCGGACGCGAGGGCAACGTGCAGGAGACCCGAAATAATTAATGGCAGACCGCCGTCGGTGGACGACGCACCTGGAGGATGAGGAGCCGGAGGCCGAGGCGCTCAACACCTCGCAGGACCTCTACCCCTCTTACTCGCAGGACCAACTCTACAAATCCGGTGCCTTTTTTTATTTTTTCAACTGACTCACGCAATAATCGTTATCTCGCAAACGCATTTATCTTATTTGGCATGATTCTTCTTGCAAACAGTTTTATTCATTCTTTCATAAATTCGTTCTCCTTCCTTTTTTTTTTTATTTATTTTCATTTATATTTTCAAAAGTTTTGATTTTGTTTATCAGTTGCCTTATTAATTTGAAAAGTTAAAAATTAATTTAATTTTTTTATTTCTTTTCACTGAAATATTTCCGACGTTCTTGAGTAATTTAATAAAACGAATCTGAGTATTGAAGAGAAGCGATTTAAAATGTAGATAAATTTACGCTCTGCCGGCCAAGCGAAAGGCCAAACAACAGGTCAAAGAACCTCGTCTGTTTAATAGGAAACGAGGGCTTCTCAAATGACCCACTCGGTGCGCACTTGTCTCGTTTCACCTCCACTTGTTGTTTAAAATGCAGAAGGTCATGAGTGGAAAAATAAACATATTATCAGCCCAATTTGGAAAATACCAAAATATTTCTGACGGTTTTATTTGTAAAATTACAGGTGGATGCTGCGCCGATTTGCAGGGCAGGCTGCCCTACGCCACCCTCATTGCCACAGTCATGTGCGTGTCAGGGGTCGGCATATTTTGCTTCACCATCTACAGAGGTGCCACTCTCACGTCACTCATGTTTGAGCATGTCTTCCACTTCCGGCTGACATGGTAAGTCAGTTTTTAATGCCTCGGTGAATTCAATTCAAACAATTTTTTACGAGTGAAAAATAAAATTAATTTATTCGGGAATGTCCAATATAGAGAGAAAAAAACAAAGAAATTTCATTATCAGGAAATTTTAAATGTGTCCGTGAATTCAATTCAAACTTTTTTCTAACAAAAGTAAAAAAACACATTAAATAATTATTTATTTCAATGCCCGATTTGAAGAAGAACAAAAATATAAGTGCTGTAATATAATTTATTTTTTATTTTTAAATCACTCAAAAAATCCAGTTCTATTTTAATTTTATCAACTTTTTCAGGTTGGAGCCTACACAGTTGGGTTTGGTGATTGGTGCCGCGTCGATGGCCGCCCTCGGCCTCATGATGCTCTTCATCGGCTGCCTGGCCACAGGTGCCACCAGACGCAAGGTGTACCGAGGTCACACGAGCAGGGTCGGAGGGCGAGTGACCTGCGCCATCTTCATGGTGCTCACTTACACCCTTCAGCTGGCGTGGCTGGCCGTTCTCATTCTGCTGGTGCTGGTCGCTGCCACGTACTCCACCTTCAAAGCTCTCTGCAACGACAAATTCACCCACCCTGAAATTGAGTGCATCAATTTTGAAATGTTCCGTAAGTTTTCAATATTTCGGCAATTATAAAACCTTTATTTGTGAAATTTGAATATTTCAGACTTTTTCTTCCCGAAGAACACACCAATCGATGACTTGAAGGTCTGCCAGCAAGAAGCGACCGAGTTTTGCAAAGACTACGTCAAGAACGCCGAGCTGATGGCCTACCTGGCTGCAATCTCCTGCATCATTGTCATTTTGAGTTTGGTGAGTTTTTTTTTTTAAATTTTATCGTTTACATTATTTATAATTATTTTTTACTTCAGATTCACTACTTGATGTGTCTCTCTGCAAACTATGCCCATATTCGAGACCAGGAGAAATTCCAAGACTTCCAGGAGATGCAATTCATCACCGATCCAGACAGCCACATGGCCTCTAAGGAGCGCTTCTAGGATACAGCCAGAGAAATCTTCAGGCGAGGGGTGCACCAGCCTAGAGTGTGACATCGGCGCACCGCTTCCTGGACATTTCTTTGACCTCGGAAGAAAATCTCTCGACTTTGTAAATACTGAAAACGGGCAGCTTCCTTTGTTCCTTCGGAAGTTCGGCCACAAGTTTTTTTATCACAAGTATTACGGAATCGCCAATTTGTTCTTAGCAATGGCTATTGACTGAATTCGAGCAAGTTGGAAGTGGCCAGTCGTCCAATTTATACCTTTGCCGAGAATTTAATTATGGAGATTTACTTTGGAAAATTTTTCAGTTAATTGAAATAAAAATTTAGATTATTCTGTGGGTCTTACATCCATTTCTGTTCTAAAGAAGCAATATTTTTGTCCATTGAAAAAGATAAACTTGAATAATCCAGTGTGCGAATCATTCAGTCAATATCCATTTTTGGCACAATTTTGGTGAGCCAGTGTTGTTCTTCAAAAATGGGTCTCTTTAAACTATAATCAAATCAGCACTGACACTTTGGAAGGAAAGTGCGTGAAAATTGAATCGAGTCAAAATTGTCACAGCTATCTTCTTGGTTAGTTCTAGATTAGCAAGTAACGTAACTCACGAGTGCCTCTCAGACGCAAAGGCGGAAAGACTGTAAATAAATCTTTTTTTAACATTTAGCAATGTATGACATTCTGTGCAACAATCTTATACAATGAATTGCATTTAGCCGACTTAGATCCTTGTGATTGCATATTATTTTTAATAAAACGCAGCAGCTCTTGTATTAACAATTTTAATTTTATTTCCTATCTACAGAGTCTACCATAAATAAATTACAACCACCAACCACCTTAAACTAAAATCATATCAAATTTGGCACAATTCCTTAATTTCAAGCTCTGAGAAAGGGCGATCCAGGTCGAATGGAACCAGTCCTGAGGGTGGGCAGGTTTTGGCTCAGTCGCAGCTGAATGTTGGCGAGCAGGGCGCGCTCGTGGGGGAATTGGTGGAAAAAGCGCGGCTCGTTGCTGACGAAGGACGCGGCAAACGCTTCCAATTCGGGCCCGGACAAAACGTCGGCAGGTTCTGTTTCGGGCTGAAGGGAGTGCAACTCTTGCAACTGGGAATCGTCGGTCACATACTCCGTAGCAGCTGAAATCAATTTTTTTCACGGAATTATTATTTTGTTTATTTCTTATTGTATTGTTCTATCATTACAAAATTATTATTGTTTCATTCTACTAAAATTGAACAAGCTTTAAAATTACATAAAATAATTCAGTTATTAATTTGCTGTATATATTAAATATTGATAATTTTTCTTGTTTCTGTATTACTCGCAACACTTTTTTTTTTGGAAATTATAACATTTAAATTAAACGAAATTCTAATTAAAAATTATAATGTGTTGATCAATGATTTAAAAATATCAATTTCTGAAATCATTTTAAAAAATTCGGTCAAAATTATTTCAGTAATCAAGAATTGCAATAATATTCTTTCTCTTTATAGTTTATTGAATTATTAAAATTTGAAACTCTTTAATTTTATTGTCAAGCTTACCTGACATCAGGTCAATTCCCTGCGAATATGTGTGTGTTGGCGAAACAAACCGGAAAGTCATTTGGGGGTTGATGGGGACGGCCAGGGCTGGAGCCAAGAGGGCAAGAGCGGCGAAAGCAATTAGCTCCATGTCTGCGAATCGCAAGGAAATATTAACATTTCGTCGAATTCACACTACTTTTAACACTTTCATTTTCAAAGGTCAAAATCAAGGAAAATGAAAAAAAAAGTGGAGCCGTTTACGTGTTTTTCTCTCAGGTGCGTAATTTTCTCACACCGAAACGAGTTAAGCTACCGTTTTTATTGCCGAGTCACGAAACTCTCTCGTAACAAACTAATCGTTTTTTCATTTACATTTTTCCACCAATTAAAATTGCGCGCACCGAGAGTGATAAGTGGCGAGTAATTGTGTTGGAGAAAAACGAAACAACACATGCTGAGACGCTGCTTTTTTCCACACCCGCCTCGCGAAAAAAAGCCCGCGACGGCCAATCAATCAAACTCGATCACTTCGATCACAGCGAGGAAAATCATCAATCAAAAGCTGTTCACTCTTGGCGCGACCTTTGCGCAGACCGGCCCTTGTGTTTAATAATCAGGGCATTAAAAGTGAATTTGTCAATGCACTTGAACCTTTCTAAATATGCCAATATAATAATTTTTTTGTCTTCAATTCCAAGCAAATAATTGAGACATGTTGATGAATAACAAGCCACTTTTCAATTTAATATCTTTCTCTTTTTTAATTGCGCGTTTACTTCGATTCTTCGAAAATGATATTGCAGATTTATTACACCCCGTTTTAATAAAAGTGTTATTTCAAAATCGCGCAGGTGAGAATTATAGGAGAGATGCGCGAAGTTTAATTCAACCTTGGCTCGATTTCATTGCGCGCGCCCTTTCAACAATTGCCAAGTTTAGATAATTATCACTCCTGCGAGTTGTGGCACTAACGGGCTTTAATTTATCTGGTTTATGGGTTCTCCGCTTTTGACGCAAAAAGTAACCGAATTTTTGTAATCATTGATCCGAATCGGCAATTAAACTTGTCGGGTAAAATAAGAAGTGTGCCGCCAATAAAAATGTTTAATCAATTCGATTGACAATTACACAGATTTTTATCAAACTCATACAAGGTTCAATTTTTGAAATAAAACTTCTTTTCCCCAAAGCATCATAAAAGCTAATAAAAATTGTCGTGGTTGTGATAAGTACAAAAATACAAACAAATTTTTATTATATTTCATACATCTTCTGGAATATAAGGTATAAAATTATTACAATTTAAAAAAATAATTACAATATAGCATGAACTGCATGATTTCAAATTTTTTTTGTAGATTTTTCAAACTTTAATTTGAGTGATTTGAAACAAATATTAAAAATAATCATCAAGTTATTCATCTTTTGTTATGCTGATTCAAATTACTTTTTCAACTTAATGGGCACTATTCTCTTGACTTATTGTTAGTTCTCCAGTAAAAAGATATCCCGGGATAAAAAAACCCTATTTATTTTAATTTTATTTCATTTTTACAACTAGTACAGCACTGTTTTGTTTTCTTTATACAGAAATTGAAAAAAAAAATTAAATTAAAATATTTATGCGACAGTTTTGTCTCAATATTTATTTGAAGACTATTTTTTAACAATCCAATTTTTTCTTTTAATATTTTTGCCATTGGTGCATATTTTTAGAAACTGCACCCTTTCTGCCTCTCATTTTTGAATAATTGATGAAGATGAATTAACTTTGTTGTCATATAGTAATAAACATTTTGCTCTTAAAATTGTTTATATAAGCCACTTTTGCTACAGGACTTAATTTTAGCCTGAGGTCGATCAGAATTTTTCATGAATCGCGGTCATTGCATTTTTTTTTTGCGCTATTATTTCACTTCCAGACGAAAAATTAACATTTTAAAGCACAAACTCTGTGCACAAAGTTAAATAATTTCACATGCTTATTTGTTTAAAAAAGCCTGATGGTCATTAGAGATTAAGGCGCGCGTGCACCCAAGCGCCTTCTGCTTCTCTCTTTCTCTCCCCGAAATTATTTCAAAACGAGCAAATGCGCAATGAATTAATTGAAGGCGACTTTTTGAGCAACTCGATACGTTTAATAATAGTAATAATAATAAAATTCTCTCTCGGCGCAGGTCGTGATTCTGGTGTTAAAAAAAATCGTCGGCGAGCCATTCGGAGAAACACGATCTTTTCTTTTATATTATTTGTCACACGAGAGCCGCCGCGATCTTTTAACACTCTTGTTATAATCGCGCAGAGAAAGAATATTTTTTCAGCAAGCGTCGTGTTGTTATTGCTTCACACGTACACCTGAGAGATCGTGATGCGATGATAAAAATGTATTCGATTTGTGCGTTTTGCTCAATGAGCAACGAGCTGGAAAATTTGCACAAAAATTAATTTGACATATCTGACTTGCATGAACCGGTGTGAGTATATTTCACTGACTAAATCATGATATCTTCAAGTGGAAGAAATTTAATTAGTCCTCCAAAGATATATATTTGATATTATTAAAAAAACTTATAAATTTATTTCACAAATTTACCTTTTCTTAACAATTGTTTGGTGATGCAAACGTATTGAAATTGAAATTTTAAAATTTAAACTTGAATAAAACAGCAATGTAAACACACCAAGACAAACACAATTATCATTTTGAAAATATTTTAACATTATTCTGAGATTAAAATCAATTTTATTTTATTTTTTCTTTTAAATCCACTAAATTATTTTATTTTTCAATTTTAATTCGTATTACTTGCACGTGTCTGTTAATTTCCTTTTATTGCTGTTTTAATTCAAATATAATTTATATAATTAATTAATTTCATCCGTCCAGATCTTCCGCAATTTCTGCGGACAAGGCCGTGTTTTCTCTGTCGTCTCGTGTCTCGTCTCGCTTGGAGTTGCACGTTAAGTAAGCAACTAATTTAATTATGCAAACAATGCAAAACACATGCGTGGGAATGAAAAAATTACTTTGGTATGGCCTCCTCAGCAGTCAAGTGTGTTTTACGACACTTTTGCATTCTTTTGGCCTTTTTCACAAATTTACCGTCTGCGCAATTTTCTGCAAAAGGTTGAATAAACCTGATCGTATCATGTGTGCCGCCATTTCTTTAAAAAAGTCGAGCATTATTAATTTTCTTGTTTGCATTGAGCCGCCGAGGAACAAATAAATAAAAATAAAGAGACGCGCGCGCTCGACTTCATCTCTCTCACTCGCGGGAAGGAAAATCAAGTTTGTTGGGTGGATTAATTTTTACAAACGGCGGAGCGGTCGGCCTTGAATCTGAATGTTCCAGCATGATGATCCATCGGCGCACGTAGGATTCACAGAATATTATGCTCTGCTCCACCGCAGCGTCTGTTTGTTAGACGAGATAATTTGCTTTGAACCAGGAAAAGGAGACACGACTTTTAAAGTGGCTCGCAAATCGACAAATTAAAACACTAGGAAGCATAAAAAAAGAGACAAAACCTGCAACCATTAATTAAATAGCCAAGGACAGAGAAACTTGTCGGATAATTTTTCACTACAAACTGTAGCAAAGTAACTAAATAATAAAATCAATAATAATATTTTTATTCAAAAACTTTTAAAATTGATTTTAGAAAAAGTTTATTTTTTTTTAGTTTTTTAGAGCTATCAAAAGTTGATTGTAAACATCACAATCAATAATTAAAATTCCATTTAAAATTTGTATAGGATGAAATTTTTAAAAGATTTTGAATTTTCATGAATTTGGATTTTACCCCTGCACGCGTTCGTAATATATAGCGACTCGAGACAATACATTGATCTCACCTGATTCATACTTTATTTATGCCCTAGGTCGAGACCTTTCCCAGCGGCATGCGATTTCCAAGGCTGCCTATTTCACGACGACGACCGCGTGCCACCGCTAATTATGCATGGAAATAAATTGTGTGATCGCGGCACTCGCGACATTCCGCGCTCGTGAGCCGCAAATTCGACTCGGTGACCCCCGACCTCTGCCACAGAGTCAAGCACGTGTGTGCGACTCTCTGATACGGCTAATGAGAACTAATTTGAGTGCTTTGGAGAACAAGAGACAAGCGCCAAAACACTCCTAATCGATTTCAAAATGATGTGCTTACGAAATTTTTCATTTTGAAATATATTTTTACTCAATCGGCGTTCAGTTTATTTTCAACAAAATAAATTACTTATATATCTTACAATTTTAAGATATATTAGAGAAATTTTTAAACTTATATTTTAATTTTACAAAATGCTTTTATTGAATATAATTATTTTAAACTTATAATAAATAGACAATTGTAATTTTTGTCCACAGATTTTCCTAATGCTTTTTATTAAAATGTATCGTATTACAATTTATTTAGTTTTTCTGGAAATTAGAATTTTTTCAAGTAAGTAGAATTTAAAATGATTATAAATATGGAAATATTTAAGAACGTTTCTTGAAGTTATAATTTTCAATTTCGCAATTGATATTAAAATTATATAAAAATTAAATGAATTTTTAATCAAGATTAATATAGAAAAATTAGCTTCTGTGAAATCAATCGACTCCCATTGATCGTGTGTTGCATAAACTGCTGCCACTTTTTCTTGCCCTTAATCGAAACGCTGTAATTGTCTTCAAAAGTCACCCCTTTCATGGACAGCTACTGCAGCACTCAATTAAAAAACAATCGCGGCGGTGCAAATTGCTTTTTACGACTCCCCCGCGGACACGAGAGTTTCTTTATTAATCGCTGGCGGCCGCACAAAAGCGAGCCATATACATAAAACCATACAAAACGAATCTCTCTCCTGCATTGAAAATATATATTTTATATTTAGTTATTGTTCTCCGGCTGGAAATCGAATCGCGTAACAACACGTGGATTTATTACGGATCTTGGTGGAAATTTTTTAATTTCAAATAAGCCGAGTGGTGTGCGGGGGCGAGGTCGAGAGAGTAATTACATTGGCCCGCGGCGGGGCGAAAAAAAAAATGCCACCGCGCGCGGTTCCATTATTCAACGCAACGCCCCGCCGTGATTAATCGTTGTTGCAATTTTATCTCGGGCGCTCCTAAGCTGCAAATTCGAGGGACAGATGCGAGAAGTCGATAGGCACCGATGAATAATAAAGAGTAATAATAAGGAGGGGTAAAATAATATATGAGTACAGGCAACCTTGCCCTCGAGATTGACACGATATCGAATGTCAATTTGGTTGCACTTTAAATTTAAAGAATAATGATCGGTAAAAAAACTCATTCATTGAAAAGAAAAAAAAGTTTTTACAGATTAGAGGTCAATTCTTATTTTCCCGTCATAATTTTCTATTTATGTAGGATCAATTTCTATAAAAATTAAAAGTTTTTTTTAATTAATCCAGTTATTTATAATTAGGTACTTTTTGAACTTATAATTTCTACTTTACTTAAAATTAGTTCAAGACACATTTGAAAGGAATAAAATTATGTCTGAATTACACTATAGTTACCAAAATTAATTAAATGAAACTCCCTCCCCCCAAAAAGAAACTTGATGTTGGATTAAAAATTTATGATTATTTTTCCCTTCTTTAATCTGAACTCTCTTATTTGAATTAATTAACTTTTAATATTTCTCCTTTCATCATTTTTGCAGGTTATTTCCAAACAATACATTTAATTTTTCACACTTCACACATGCATACATAGAAATAATTCGTAGAATTAAAAAAGGAAAAAAGAATCGTTTTGAATACAAAATTTAATTATTCAACTCTATAGCACTCTATAGCATTAAAACATTATCGATTAAAAAAAATATTTTGAATCTTGAATTTAATTCAAAGAGTCAAAAGAATCAATAATTTTTTGTTTGAATGTAAATTATTCTAAAAAATCTGTGCTCGGTATTTGATGTATTGGTAAAAATTTAAAATGTTTCTTTTTTAATAATATTTTTTTTGGTTCAACTTGGATTCCCAGTAAACAATTTTATCCAAATCCATTCCCAAATCTAAAATCATGTTTTGCCAATTACAAATTAATATAAGAAATTTGATAATAATAAAAGAACCAGTCAGCATCACAAAATGAGAACAAAACTGGTAGCTTTTCTATAACAACAATATTTTTTAGCAAGGGCAAGCCAGTTTTTTTTTACTTGATTTAATAAATCAATAAATTGCAGCTCCCCAGATTGCTGAATTAAAATTTTAATTATATGTAAATAAATAAATAATATTTTATCTTCATGTTTGAGAAATCCAGCGAAATAGGCGGCGGAAAACGAAAAATATCGGTCCCCTGTTCAATCAAAACCCAAACTTTTCACAAATGGATCCCCGGGGAAACTTACCTAGAGGTGGTTTGGTCCCCAAGCGCGGTTCTCACCAAATGCCGAGATTTACTTTGCTGCACCTGTTGCAGAACTCCACACGCCTTTTTCCCTCCTCCCGCGGCAGTGGAGGCGACCAGAGCGGCCACCACTGCTGCTGGCTAATGATAAAAATATTATGCACACACAATCTCATCATCATAGGCACACACACGAGCCGAGTTTGCGGCGGAACGATCTCTTTCAAATTGACTCGTTGCGTCCAGCTGGGTGCCTTTTGTGCTAAAAATTATCGCGCCCACTTCCTGCATCTCGGGCCAGTGATAATAATTAAACAATTATTGCGAGTTGGAACAAATTTCTTCATTTTTTGGCAGCGAACCCATTTCAAAAGCGCTAACCTTTCAGCCCTAATGATCAGGCGTGTGCCCTTTTCATGTTATTTGAGAATGGCCGATTGCCAAAAAAAGTTGAGGATTGATTTTCGAGGCAGGAGAGTAAAAGTCGGTTCTTGTACCTTATACTGGGTGTAAGGCTTTTATTTGTAGATAATGGATTTTACATTGTTGTCAGTTAGGATAGAGGTGTGTGTTTTGTTACAGCAATTCAATTAATACTTTTCATTTTCGTTATACAAGTTTAATTAAAATTCATATCGTAGATTTATGTGTATAATATATAATGCGTCAGAGCTGAGGAAAAAATAGACCATCATTAATGTAAAAAAATACAAACGAAACCCACCAGCGACGGAAAACGAACCAAACGGTTAAAAAATCACACTCGATATTGCACAGATATAGAGATACAGGTTGGATTATTATCATCTATTTATTGATTCAAAAACTTCTTCTTCCCGCTGTGAAAAATGCGTGTGTTGGTGTGTTTGCTTTTTCATCGCGCGACACTTGGGGACAAATTTTTTAGCATAGTTTCGCCTACACCCGTCCATAAATATACAAACAAACAGGCAGTTTCTCATCTAATACACGTGTATCTTTTTAAGTATTTTTCATTTATAACCTTATATTTTTATTTTACAACATACTTAAGCAACTGGGTGTGTCTTTTTTTCAACCGGGAATACTTATTATTTTCCGTGTCAAATTTTTATTCAATACATTTTTTTTGTCAACTTCCTGAGTCACTTTAAAAAATAATTATTCTTTCGACTAATACTTTTCATTTTTCGTAAGAGTGTGTGTGTTTTTGTGTGTGTATATAATACGCAGTTTAATATAATTTTTCCTTATTAAGTACACCGAGTGGACAATCGAAACATCAACGGACACAGTGTGTAATGAATTAATTATATAAACTGTCAATTAACCGACGAGTGCGTGCGTTAAGGGCGCCCACCGCTCGTCACCTAGAAACACCGATCGATTTTTAATTTAGCCGAGAGGGGTGGCCAAGATAGAAAGAAAACGAATGAAAGAGAAGCGGATTTGTGCTCGAGCCGCCCCTCTCCTGCTGGAATGTCCATAAAAACTTCTGGGGAGGCTTTTTAATTCTGCTTGCAAGTGAGAAGAGAAAGGGTGATTGATTAGTAATTTAATTCGAGTGCTATTCTCCTTGGCAAGCCCGCTAGGTTAGCCTACCTAATCTTTTCAAAATACTCAAATAAAAACAGCAGTCTATAAATATTATTATTAGTGTGTAGAATCATAAACGCGCGCGTGTGTGTTCAAATATAGTATTATTATAATATGCCGTTAAGTAATAATTCAATTAGGTGTGTCGTGTCGTGTGTGTTTATATAAATTCATCTCACCACTAAGTAGTTATTCTCTTATTAAAGTTATTATCCCACACCCTAAATTAGATTATTAAACAGACGAGCGCCTTTTTTACTTTGTGTAATGCCGTTTTTTTTAAGAGACCCCCCAGAGCGTTGGCAAATTTCGCCGATTTCCGGCTCCCCTCAGGAGGGTAAGACTTTTCAAAATTAAAAGTATTAGGTAATTAATTAGGAAATGCAATTACTGGCGCCACTCACGACCGAGGACCCTGGAAGAAAATTGGTCTTAGCGAGCTTCAGTCAAAAATGGCAACCGACTTCTGATTTTTTTTTTATTCATTTCAAGAGCCTCGAGAGGAGTTCCGAATATCAAAGAGCGAAATGAGGAAAATTCTCGGGGGGCCTCGAGCGAAATATCTTTTTATTAAGCAGATTCAAATTAGTTTGGATAGAGAAAAGTAATTCCTCCTGCCAGTGTAAAGTTCAAAGCTTCAATAAATGCGCCTTCCTCTTGTTGATTTGCATCTTTACTCAAAATATAATCATTTAACTCCTACCTTAAAACCTACAGAAAGTTAAATTAATTAGTTATCTTGCCTCGTTATTATTTTTGCTACTTTTCGTTAAGTATGTTAATCGTCAAAGAGTGAGGAAACTCAGCAGACAAAACAAGACAGCGCTAGTCAAGCAAAAAATGGACGGTTTTAGTTACAAGTGCTGCCCGTCTCAACAACCGAATAAGCTCCTTCTCCACTTTTTAGAGTGTACAAGTGATTTTAGAGTGTCATTATGTGTGTGTGTGGCGTGTGTACATATACATACGAGTGTCTTTTTATTTGTTATAAAAATAACCGGGGGCCAATTGAAGCTTCAAATTTTACTTCTGTCGTGTTTGATTCATGTGCAAAGTTGTGCTCGAGGAGTAACAAGGACCAAATGCTAATTAATACTAAAGCAGCAGCCTTGCGCGAGTTAACGGAAAAATAGGAAATTTCTCAAAAAAATAATAATAAATCCTCATTTGCCTTTTTAAGGCGCCAATGAGACGTCATATATAGATAGAGAGAGATAGTTTTTTTAACACTTTTAAAAAACGGCTGCCGAGCTGATATGCATAATTATTAATTCAGAACCCAATCATTACAACTAATCAGTGTTTAAGTTCAAAGCCATCACAATCGAGCGCGAAAACCAAAAAATGGGCCGAGAATGGCACTGGCATGGCGAAAATCAGGGACAGACTGACTATGCTATGGCACTAACAGAGTGTTGGACCCTCGCGTGGATCAACTAAGTAAGACAAGCAGCAGCGTCTAATCAAATATAAGACTGCTTATACTTAATAAGTAAGGAACTTGCGCGAGTGGCTGGCAAACTGGCGACTCCTTCAAGTTCCTGATCCACCTGCGACGACCTGAAACAGACAAATTTCAAACCCGTTAGATTTGATGTCAAATTCAAACAATATTATTGAAAAAAGTTGTGAAAAAAATTACCTCTAGATGGAGAGAGTTGAATTGTCCCACTCGAGGTCCTTGCTTTTCTTGTTGCTTGCCTCGTCGTCGACGTCGTCATCATCGCTCGAGTCAAGCTCGTCCCGATAACTCGAATCATCGTCTTCATCCTCGTCAGATGAGTCATTGGGCACGTGGCCGCTCTGGGCTATTTGCGGTCCAGCCTGATTGCCACCAGACTTGGGCCGGTGCGTCTCGGCCAACTCCATGGGGTTGACGGTGATGGTGAGGGCCGAGTCGTCCCACGCCATCTCAGTGTCAGCCAACTCCTCCTGCTGGCTGCGGTGGTGGGCAGCCCTGATCCTGATTACTCCCAGCACAATCATGAACACCAAGAAGCCGACGCAAACTACAATGATGATTGTAACGGCATGGCCTGATAAATGAAATTATTGAGTTAATTCCTTTGAAACTTAGAATTGAAATATTGAACTTACTTCCGGTGGCAACAACGCTCTGTGTGTCTCCCAAGTAAATGTCGTTCAGGGTTTGGGCAGGTTTGATTTCAGCATGGTGCCTGTCCAGTTTGACATGGGCAGGAATAACAGATGGCTCGACAATCACACTGTCCACCTGCTTAGCCACGGGAGAGCTTGAAACGTCAGGGAGCGGTTCCGAGGTGGCGTCAAGCTTGATGGGGGATCGAGGATGGATCACAGTCAGCTGAAATAAATTAAAAACAAATATGTCAATTACTGTATTCAATAAAACATATTCAATGAAGTAGCAGTAGTGGTATCAGCACTGCAGGACTGTCATCAATAAAAATCAGGCGGTGAATCCAATCATCATTTAAGAGAAAAATTTTATAATGTAAATAGGATTTTTCCACTTACGGTCTGCACGTATTCATTGCTTGTGAAGCGGCCGTTCAACTCAGAGCAGATGAGTTTAAATACTCTATTCAAGTAATAAGCCGGCTTCTTATTGGTGTACTGAATTTGTCTCAGTACCTGAAAAATTGCAAAAATTCAAAACTTAATACAAAATTTTAATTCAAGGACTGCAAACCTGTTCGTAGTTGTAAATCATATCAGCTCCAGAAACAACAACACCATCCCTGCTGACCTTGGCAACAATGCCAAACTGGGCCATCATGTTGTCTGGCAGGGTAAGAGTCTCATGGTCGGGATTCAAGGGAGGGTAGACAGAGACGGTGCACGAGTCGAGCTTCTTCTCGATCACAGTCATGGGCTCTCCCTTCTTCCACTCCTTGTTGTTATCCTTGTCTCCAGTTACAGTGATGTGGACGTCAGTGAAGACACGCACGCCCAACCTGAAGTCCTCGTACTCACGAGCAATGTTGCCAGTGCCGTTGACCTCAATCGTGGGCTGCTGTGGCTGCAGAACTTGGATGTAGCTCTCGACGGCCGGCACCTTGACAGGCCTTCCCCTTTCGCAGGTGATGATTGTCGAGATGTGCACATTCCTGCGGCCAGGCGTTGGGAACTCCCTCGAGTTCAGGTATCCCACCTTGCGCAGCAGGACCTCCAAGTTGGTCTTGTTGTCGCCTTCCATGGTGATTTCTGTGAGCTCGCTGTTGGTCAACAGCTCCATTCCAGGCTCCAGAAGCTCCATGGGGGGTACTTCGAGGCTCTCCTTGCACTTGTGCAGACAGGCCAGCACCTCAGGACGCTCATTCTTGTGCAGCAGCACAGCCAAACCAGCAAGATAACCCCTGGAAATGGTTTATGTTTGTGAAATATTCTCTCATTTTTCAAGTAAAACTCACTTGAAGTAATGCTTCATTTTGCCTTCCGAGCCCTGCCAGCAGGCGCCCACAGCCAGGGAGGTGTTGATGCCCTTGGTTGGGTGCAGAGGCCAGTCGTCAATAATTTCAGGATTCTTCTTTTCTGACTTGAATTCCTGGCCGTCAACAAAAAGTTGAACGTCTGGGAATTGGACGGACACAGCGTAATGATGCCACTCGTTGTCACAAACCTGAAATATATTATAAAAAATTTAATAATCCATTACGTTTGAATCTAAAAATATTTTAAATTATTATTTCGACTTCAGCACTGCAGGGTTAGCATCAAAGTTCAGGATGGTGTATTTGTCATCATAAGAAAACAATAATGTGTAAATGAATGAAAATGCAATTAACCAACCTGTGGCAACTTCCATCTCCATTCAGCCGGACGGAAAATGTTGAGATCACCCTCGCTGAAATCTCTTCTCAGCAGCAGAATGAGTCTGCAGTTGCGCACAAACAAAGCGTAATGGTGCCTGTTCATTTCTGTAAACCACACAGGATTAAGGGATTTCCCTCACAACAATCAATTTCCCTTACTGTGGTCGTCAGCAGAACAAATGATGTGTTCCTTAGTGTGGTGGTCGCTGTCAGGGCTCTGCTTGTGCTTCATCCAAGTAGCGACTGTGAATGTGTGGCTCAGCGCCTCGTCGAGGACGGTGTTGGGCACCACAGCTGCGGTGTTACCGTCAAACTCAAAGATCTGGTCAGACTCGTGACCATCGTCGCTGGGCAGATTCTTGGTCCACTCAGTGCTGAGTCCAGGATTGGGCAATAGGTCAACACTCTCAGCACTTGCACCTTAATAAAAAAAAAAATCAAAATTTTAGTAAGCAAGAATGAATGAAAATAGGAAAAAAAAATACATACCACAAAGTTTCCTCTGGCTCTGAACAGAGTAGGTGTCACGGTCGCATCCTTTGCCGATGTGGCTGGTCTGCAGCTTGATACGAGCCTCAACAGTTCTCACATTGCAGGGGACGTCGCACAGGTCAAGATCAGCATCAGGGAAGAGTTCTTCCCTTCCGGTGCCAGGAGCGTAATCAATCCTTTCGGGAATTCCTGAAAAATTCAAAATTAAATTATTAATAATGAGATTGAATTTTGAAAGTATGTCAAAATTAAAATAATATCTTTTCTTTTAAAACTGACCTTTCCATCCAAGTTTGCAGACGCGGTTGACCTTGATAGTGACCATGACCGGAACACTCTGCTTCATGCCACAGTCATAGGCAACCACCGTCAGGATGTGGTTGTGGCTGCGCTCGTAGTCAAGAGCCTCGGTATTGCGAATGACGCCCTCGTTGTCAATGACAAAGGGCTGGTCACTGGTGAGGATCTCGTACTTGCAGACGTCGCCAAATTTAGGCGTGCAGTCGCGGTCAGAGGCCTCCACTCGGACCACCTCCTCATACAACCTGCCCTCGTCAACCTGACGCACATAGCTCGGTTCGAGGAAAGCAGGAGCGTACTCGTTGATGTCAGCCACAGAAATGTGGACAGTGGCGCTGGAAAAAAATTAAATTAATTTTTAGGGATGTTCAATAATTGTTTTAAATTAATTGTCTGTTAATTTCCATTTTCTTTCTATTATTTTAGAGTAAATGTCTGTCATTAAATAAATAATAATCATGATGTTTACACAATTTTGATTTGAAGCTTACTTATGCAGGAAAAGTTATGGTTCAAAACATAATTAGATTTTATGTTCCAAGAAAACAGGTAAGGCCTAATAAGGAAAAAGTGGATGTAGGCCAAGATAAATTACTGGTGAGAGGATTAAGCGCAGACTCACTTTTCACTCTGCTCGCCACTGCAACTGACAGCTGCGATGTCGAATCTGTAGTTTTTTCTCTTCTCGCAGTTCAGGGTCTTCTTTGCCCTGAGTTCGGCTTCACCCTTCTCCTGATCTTTCAAGATGATCTGAAAATGAAAAGCTAGATTTAAAAAAAACGAAATCGTTCCGACATCAAAATTACTGTATTTAAAATAAAGGTTTTTATTTTCAGATGAAAAAAAAAATATCGAATGGATTTTCTCGTTAAAAATTTTCTCTTCAGTGTAATTCCCAGAGGAAGTTGTGTTTCAATCAATGCATTGTGATAACTTTGAGCACGAACAAAAACCTGATTGTTTGCACAACTACTGAGGGAAAATAGAAAAATGTCCCGTGGCTAACCACGAGCAGTTTAATTAGAAGGCTCTTTTCACTTGTGTTATCTTTTTGTTTGCGCTGCGCGCGCTCTGAGCAAACGAACAAAGGAGGAAAATAATAATAATTCTCCTTTCGAGAGCAGGACACAATAATATGAATTTAAAGGGGCACCTCGAAGGGCGCTTCGCCGTGGTGCTTGTTGACGATGCGGAAATTGCAGATGGGGGCTCCGACGCCCCTGATCCTGGGGGTCACCTCCACCAGGGTCTCATTTTCCTTGACGATTCCGTGGTATCCGCTCTCGAGGCTCAGCAAATCCAGCCGCGGCACTGCTGTCGACAAAAAGGAAATTACTTTTCCCGAGAACACGCCAATTAGCGCACAAAGAATTTCCGTATTAGGAAATGATCGAGCAGTGCACCTTTGTTTTTTAGCCCCGCGTAAAGTGCGGCCGCTGGAATACCGGGAAGGACGTCACATAATCACATTCTTCGAATTACTCAATTAAATTATTAAATAAATTTGAAAATAATTAATAAAATCTACAAATTTAGTGAAAAAAACAAATATTTGTGTACGACTCTAATCTCTCATGGGGAAATTCGCGTGAATTCCAGCGAATGGTAACGAAAGGGTTACGTGACGTCATCCCGATGTTTCAGAAGACCGAGTTTACGGGTGACGCATGAAATGGCTGCCTGACCGAATTTCCAACCAAAAGACGACGGTCAGGTCGCTTCAGGCTCAAATTTGAGTCGGCTTGGTTTCAAAATTTGGTAAAAACAACGATTTTGAATTGAACCAAAGTTTCTGGAGAGGCGAAAATTGAAAAAAGGGCGAACCTGCGGCGGGCGGAGAGGTGGCGAGGGAGGCGACCACCGAGCACCACACCAGCAGCACCACCTGAGCGCTGCAAGACATGCTGAATTCTTCTCTGGTTCGGCCGACTCAACGGACTAGAAGATGTGCGAATTTCCTCGTGCGACTCGCCTGCCTATTCGCCTGTGGGCATTTCCGCCGAAATTCGGCCGAGGGACTGACGGGGCTGGCAGTGCTGCGCCGAGATCGAGACTCCTCTCTCAACTGTGGTCTCTGAATGGCAATGGCCGCCCCCGCGCGGCGCCCGCACGAAGCTCACGGCGCGGCCACCTGCGCCGTACCAAGCACACGTGACCTTGCCTTTTCGGCCCGAATTCGCCTCTGTGGGCGCGCTGGGGGTGCCAATTAGGCTGCTCAATCGCACTGGAAAACCTGTTATGACGATTTACGGCAATTTCAATCCGTGTCACCGCTCGTAAAACGTATTCCGAGCCATTTGAGTTTATTAAGCGTTGCCATTTATTTTAGGGCAGGTGCGAAGGAAGCGTGATTGTATATAAAAAAAAATCAGACGAGAAGGGAAAGGGAGGAGTTTTTGCTGGACCAGATTGCTTGCGGTCGGTGAGAGAGGCAGGTGGCTTTTGATTCTTCTCGTTCTCCAGACGGCGGTCGGCCAAAGAAAAAAGAACAAAGCCCCCAAGTTAATACTACGAAAGAAAGGAGGAAAAAGGGGGACGGGGGATTTTTTTGAAGAAGGGATGCGGAGAGGATTTTTCATTCTCCGTGTAAAATTCGTCTTCCTCTCTTTGCATTGTTTAGAGATTTCCACTTGGACCGGCTCTGTAAGATTATTTTTGAGCACTTTGACGGTCGCTCCAATCTATCTTTTTTGACGCACTTTTTGCCGATCTCTTTCAAGGGACGAACGTATCTTTGTCACCAGTTTGTCACGAGATTAAAAGAAATATACGGAACAAAAAATTCATGATGAAAATAAAGATTGTGAATAATAATATCCGAAATATTAAGAATTGTAGGTACCTTAAAAAATTGTAATACAATAAATCAAAATTCGTACAGACCCAACCCACCGGACAATCAATATAATTTAAGCAATCTCTTTTTACTAGGTCTACACTTTTCCTTTTATTCAGTTTTTTGTTCTTAATAATAGAGTGAATCCGTACAAAAAATAAATACCAATAAAATATAAGAGCGCTTCTTTTCAATAAAGATGAACCCAAAATAAATAAATACATAAAAATCAAATGGCGCCTTCTGTATCACACATAAAAGCGCACACGCCGTAAAAACTTCGTTTTTGCCTGACCCTTAATAAAGTCTTCAAAATTATAATCCTAGTCATGCTGAGGGTCTTATAGCTATTTGTCTTTATTTTTGAGAATTCTAAAAAAGAAATGAAAACGAAAATTTCATTGTTGAGAAAAAAATTACAAAACTATTAAAAGAAAATTATGGAGCGCGTCTTTAATTTTTCCCCCACAACATTGTTTCTTTTCTCGGTCAATTTACAAGTTGTTGAATTAAATTTAATAGAATTCCAATTGAAATATAAAAATGCACACTATCACACACGGCATCAATATTGGGTTAATTGAAGGCTAAAATTTAAGAATGAGTCGTATTCTTTTGCAATACCTGCAATTTGATTATGATAATTATAAAAAAGCTCAACGATAAATTGTACCTTTATATTTCTAATTTAAATCTAAGAAAAAAAAAAGTGCTTTACACAAAATATTGATTTTTTAACTGATTTTATTTTGACGGTGGAAAATTCTATAGCCACAAAAATTCAATCTGTCTTCTTCTTGCGGATAAAAGTGCGTCTCTCTCCGAGTGGGTTGTTATCAGCGGAATGAATCGATTTGCCATTCATTGTCGTCCTTGTCGAGGGTGGAAAAAGCAAAGGACGGGAGAGCAATGTACACGAAAAAAAACTGCTTTTTAGCACTTCTATCTCTATACCACAGAGAGAGATTTTTAACTCTGCATATTGATTTTCAATGGCACACAACACACAAAACACGGCGCGCTATCTCGTTCTGCTCTGGCTGTGTGTAATATGCAGAGCAGCGCTCGGAAAGCGGCTCGAGTGGCTCAAATTCCGCCGCTGGCTTGCGCGAGAGGCAACGACGAATTAATATTCAAGCCGCCGCTCGGCGCGCAGTCGAATAAAATCTTCATCATTCGCCACCGGGTGAGTGTGTTTTGTGTCGGAAAAGAAGAAAAAGAGGCACTCGTGAAATAATTGTCGTCCGTTTTCGATAATTTTATTTATTTTTCTCACATGTCTTTTTTTTAATCCTCTGTGGAGGAGGGAAAGAGAACTGCTGATGCTAGATGATTTTGCTTTTTTTCAGTTTGATCCAGTTTTGTATAATTTTGAAAACCGGCGGCTCTCTGCTGCGTGTCTGTATGAGTAAGTGCGAATTAGCATATAAATGCGTGTGCCCTTGAGAGCCAGCCAGGTTCGAAATGTGCCAGCGACACACAAAATCTTGTCTCTCTCTCTTTTCTGGTGTCCACACACAGCTAGCACGCGACCGGCTATGTAATTGGCAGTGAGTTTGTTGCGTGATTCCTCTCGCGCGCTCAAAGAGCCTCTCATCCCAAGCTTTTGGCACGTCCACGCGTTTTAATTTGTTCCGACACGCTCTTTCCAGCATCCTCTCTGCTCTCGTTTGTCATGTGTATTATCATGGGATGAATAATATGGTAAAACGACAAGCGGATTTGTGTTGCCCGCTCTGAGGATTAAAACTCGCAGCTTTGAAAAGAGATTTCATAATTCGCAGAGGAAAAATGCAAATAAAAAAAACGTTGAGCCTAATTTTGTCCAAACTCCATAGTTTAAAAATTTAAAAAAAAACGTGTTTTGTTATTAAATAATATTAATGTTAAAACAGAGTAAGTTAATTATTATTTAAACAAGGCAGTTTTCAGATTCAGATTACACAACTGAAGAATTTCAAATTAAAAAAATATGTTCTCACTTTTTATGTAATTCTTAGAGTGGTGAAAAATGAGATATTTTAAAAAGCTCAAACGTTCTAATAAAAATTGTTTTGAAAGTTCAAGTATTTTTATCGAGTTAACTTTTTTCCTTTATCTAAAAAAAAATTGGTATAATTTCAAATATTTTGGTTAACAATTAACAATCACAATAATTTGCAAAGTTCCATTGTCAGAATATATTTTTAAGTGAAGATTTTTTTTCTCCAAATTTCAATGAAATGTTCTAGCTAGGGCTCTCTTAGTTCCAACAAATAATAACTTTAAAATTTCAGAAAAAAATTTGTAATTCTAGAAGTTTTTCAAATTTAATACGTTTTATTTTTTTTATTTTTTACACGTATTTAACAAAGGTTAGAAATAAAATTAAGTCAAAATATTCTTACTTGTTACAAAATGATCGAGATTGAGGCTCTTTGAGAGTGTTTAGGTCTCACGTATTTTGTATTTCAGTTTATATGAAAAAAAGCTCTAATTTTAAACCATTTTTTGCAACTAGCTGCTCTTCTCAATGTAGAAATTGAGCAATGTTTTTCTCTCTTAACTTGCTCTAAACGCGCGCGGTGGCTGTCGCGGCGTCGTCGTAAATCTAGCTATTCAGAGACCAGAGGAAAATGGTATAATCATATCTGCAACACAATTAACAAACATGCCCCGCAATAAAACGTCCCTTATAATATAAATGCATCGCACGTCTGGGCGTGACGCACATTCGCACAAGATAAATTTAAAATCGCACTGAAATGTGCATTATTTTCATTTTACGCCGCAAAAACTGTTTTTTTTTTTTTAAATATATATAGATAGGATCAAAAACACGTGTTTCTTTTTCACAATGTAATTATATGCCATTTCCAGCACATTATCATTTTTTTCGTCAACACTCTCACCCGCCCCTAGCAATTATTCTGAATTATTCGCTCTACACTATAGAGATATATTATAATATATAAATTCCGTGTAAATTCCTCCAACAAACATTATTATAAATCATCTTCATCGTTTTACACAAGCAGAGATGATGAGTTTGGCGAGTTCAGTGTATGGTGTACATTATTTTTTTTTCATAACATTGTTAAAATTCTGCGCAGTGTGTCATCATCGTCTTTTATCACAACTAGGCATGCTCAGCCCACTCTCGTCAGTTTTCATTATTTATATATATTTTTTATACATATTTCTGCTCTCACTAAAGTAGATCATCATGCTCTTGTTTTATATCTCATAATTAACGTACTCCAGCAATAACAACAACGACAGTAATTAATTTTACGCAACACTGACTGCAGAGGAAAGCTATATTACAGCATAATATAATTAACATGGTAAGTGGATATCAGTGAGATGCAGCAGGGGTTGACAGACATTTTCATTCTTTTCATTCTCATGTACGTTTTTTAATGTAAGCTCATGACATGAATTCGAGAGAGATTTTCCTAGAATCGAGTCTACATGATATATTATATCATTCTTAAATATTATCTTCTTAAAATGGCCCTGCAAACTGATGTAACATTAAAATAAAAAATTATTTTCCTTTAATATTAAATTATTTATCTAGATGTAAGAAATACTGAAATAAGCCATGAAATATAAATCTTTTTTATGGAATAATATAATTTTCACAAAAAAAAAAGCTCAGGTGCAAAGGGCCTTTATTTTAGTCATTTAAAACTACTGCGGAGTAGAAAATTTCATGACTCTTAAATATTTTTCTCTATCACAAGAATTGCCTCTCGTCATCTACGCGAAAGATTGAGATATTCGTTCAGGCTCAAAAACAGTCAACTGAAAAGCAGCGAGATTGAAAAGGCATCTCGACGTTCAAAAAGTTCTACTCGTAAAAAGCACCATATCATGTATACATATATATTCTATATCGATGGAAAACAGCGATTTGATCGAGCAGCTTCTTAGCGCCGGCGGCGTCGAGTTATGCAGCCCGCGTGGCGTCACTCTCGGGCGGGTTGCCTAGCCGACGAACCGCAGGCGCTAAGAGAGTGTTCTTGAGAATCATTTGCGTGACTTCATCAATTTTTGCGTCGAAAAGGTCAGAGCAGCAGAAAAGTTCAAGTATAAGCAGGCTGCTTCATCAAAAGTCTGTTGACGGAGGGTGATGGGAAAATGAGCGTTTGAATGCCGGGCGAAAAGAGAGAGCCCCTCTCGACGTGTCCCATGAATTATTCCCGGCCGGAGCAGCAAGTGGCAAATATTCCGGCCTAAAAGCATCATGACCGCATATTTAACACCCCGGCAACGCACGAGAGCCGCGTGTAAATAATTAATGGAGGGCTGCTTTGGGAATCAGAAAGTAGTGATGTGTGATGTCGTGTCGCCTCGAGGGCGGCTTTGGCACAAAAATGCGCTGCTTACTTACAAGAAGAAGTGACACACGGCGGGCCAAAAAAGATCTTTCAAGCCTCTTGAATGAAATTGGCTGGCGCTTGCTTAAAGTGCGCCTGTAGCCTTTTTCTGAACATTATCACAAAGAGGCAACAAAATTTGCTAATCACTCTCGTAGCAACTCGCAGGATCAAATTTTTTATTCAGCTCTAATATAATGTTTGAATGTGCTATATTTATTGATAATCAAGAGGCCACTGATAAAATTAATTTTGACTCAAGGGCAACAGCCAAGGCGTAATAAATTATTTTTTTTTTAGCATTCACTCACACTGAATCATACAATCTAAATTAAGAATCTTTGATGTACATTTTTTTTTATATTTCCATTCAATAAATTTAGCGATTCATTCTTCAGTAAAAAGTCTTTTAAAAACACCTCTTATTCCAGCAAGCAACGTTCAAAGGTTTCTTTTTCTTCAACTGTAAACAAGTTAAAAATTGCGGGCCATATTAAAGATTAAACGCTTTTTTCTGTTAAACGCCTTTTTTGCGAATGATCATCATTTAATGTAAACACCACGTTTGACGCTTTCCTCGGCTAAAAAACTTGCAACTTGCAAAAGCAAACAGCGTGCAGGGATTCAATATTGACCTAGCTCTACGACAGAAAGAGGAGGGACCTGACGAATCGGCGTCGACATGAACGGTGGGTGCTGGCAGTGTTGCTTGCGATTGGTGTTTTCGGCATCGGTCTCCTGCGACTATTTGTTGGGCTTGCGCTGCTGTTGCTGCTGCTGCTGCTGCTGGGTGTGGCGCGTCTCCTGCACGGCGGCCACCAGCGTCCGAACGGCCTCCTCGTGCCCCTCGAAGCTGTCCGCCTTCTTCAGACTGCTCGGCTTCAGGTCAAACCCGTCTGGAAGTTCATTCGGGTCCTGCCGGGCGTAGGCGCGTTCGGCCCTTTCGGCTCTTTCAGCGGCCAGCGCGGCGGCTGCCGCGGCCATCGCAAGAGCAACGGTGCTGGCGTTGTGGCCCCGTTTTGGCGGGAACGTTTCCCACGAGTGTTGCTTCTTCATGCGTCTCTCGAGGGAGTCACCACGACGACCCTTGGCCCCTGCCGAGGCCGAGCGCGGCGGTTCAACCAAGTCAACCGACGACGAGCGCCGACTGTTGACGCTGCTCACGCTCAGACTCTCGCACGAGCTTTGCTTCTTGACCGGCGGCCACTGCGGGTAGTCGGCCGCCTCCTCCTTCGTCCCTGGCCGGATTATGCGCCCGACTGAGCGGCCGACGTCGTGCAGCTTCTCTTTCAAGTGCGTCTCGATTCGTTCCACGTCAACGCAGCTGGCCACGCTCTCCGGGAACTTGGCTGCGTCCCGGAAACTCGAGTAACTGGCCGCTTTCGTGCGAGTCTTTGTCTTCGGCCGCTCTTCCCCTGGAGACTTTTTGCCGCGTTCCTCTTTGGTCCGAACTTTGTCGATCAACTGGCCCAACATTCCGCGCTCCGCCTTTGCTCGCAAATCGTCCCGGCGTCGCTCTGGAAAGAAGAATTTTTTTTTATAAAAAAACCGCATTCTTAATTTTAGAGAAAAATAACATTTTAAACAAGTTCTTGATTTTTCCAAAATTATAAATGATAATGCATAATGTTAGAGACCAAGGATAGCGCATCACAACAATCAGAGCTAATTCAGCTTGTAGCGAAGCGTTCTGATTGACGATATTCAACTTGTACGCAATCAGAGAGCTTAAACAACAAATCAAATTATGATTCAATGTGAAACACAAACCATGAGTTAGATTATTCAAAATGTGAATCAGTGGAAAAAGAAAGTACTTAATTAGATATGATTAAAAGCTATCAGGAATTAATTACAATACATAGTTATCGACAAAATCATATTGACTTAAGAAATGATGAAATTAATTCTGCTATTTTTTATATTTGCCAATTTTATCTTTTTTATAAATGGGGTTTTTTTTATTTATAAATCATATTAAATTTGAAGATATAAAAGTGTCTCAATGCCATTTTTTTTTAAAATTATTTGTTTATAGGAGAGAAATAAGCTAACTCAATAAATTAATTTAAAACTTCACTAAGCAATTTTTCATATTAATAAACTTTTTTATAAATATCTTCCAAATTCTGTTCTTTTGAATTAATATTGGCTCATGCCACATGATTTTACGAATTTTTAATAAATTTGAAAGAAATTTCAAGCTATTAATGAAAGCTTAATAAAATATGGAGCTAACGGGATCTGCCCTTGTTGAAAAATTGAGATTTTTTTTAAAAAAATGGCTCTATGAATTTGCCTCATGTTTTGCGACCTTATTTCACAAGTAAGAAAACTGTCTTGAATTTTTTTTAATGTATTTTTGGAAAAAAAAAAATGTTTTTATCGCGGATTTTTATGAAAATTTTAAATTGTAAAAGCAGCTTTTGGCACTATTAAGAAAGAAAATTGACAATCATTCTAGTATTGCGAAAAAACATACTTTTGCACTAACTTACCTTTGGCCATGGCAAGGTTTTCGTCGACCGGCGACGAGACGTGCGACGGGTGGAGGCGGCACGCTTCGCGCTGGTTCTCAAGACGCGCCTCCTGCTCCATCTGCAGCAGGCTGATTTTGTCGAGCAGCGACTGGAGGTGCGGCTCGAGGCTGGCGAACGAGGCGGCGCTGTCCGGGGTGGCCTGTTCGGACGAGGGCGGCCGCTCCTGCTGGTGCTGCTGGTGTTGCGTGTTGAGGCTGCGGATGTACGGCTCGAGTTGGCGCGCCACCAGGCTCAGGTGGCGCACTTCGGAGCGCAGCGCTGCCACCTCCTGCGTCTGCACGCATGTCACTGACTGGTTTCCACGGGGAAATTCCAAAAGGCTCACCTGCTGCTGGAACATGTCCTGCTCGACGTGGATGCGACACAACTGCTCCTCCCAGATCGCGTCGAAAACGCTTCGCAACCGCTCCAGCTCCGTCTGGTGCCTCTCCAGGGTCTCCTCCAGGTTGGTGCAGTCGCGCGAAATGTGCTCCAGCTTGCCCTGGGCCATTTGCTGCCCTGCCTGATTCGGCCTTTGCTGGACTACCTGTAAAAATATTGCTCAATGTTTTATGTTATTTCCTTCTTTTTATGCACTATTTTCTTCAATTTTGATCATAATTTTTTTAATCAAATTTTTTGTAACCTCACAATCAGATGTATTTTCAGCAAGTTATTTCTTTATTTTGCATTTAATAATCTTTTAATTTTATATAAAAAAATTTTATTTGGCAGTATTTAATACAATCTAGTTAATAATATATTAATTATTTATGTAATTAAAAATATTATAATTTTAATTATTTTTTATCATATAAATTTGAGCAATTTTACAGAAGCCAATTAGAAAGAAAATTCCCTCGATTTAATAACTTTTTTTTATTCTACAGAATGATTGAAAAAAACCTTCAAAACTTTTTCCACAACAACCAACTCGAATTTACCATTTTTCTTTTTACTTTTTATCAAAAAAACATATAAATTACCAAAATAAACATTGTCAGTCAGGTTGATTGTTTTTGGCCGTCTGTGAATTCTAAGATATTTGATATATTGTTTTAATAATTATTTTAAATTGTGAAACAATTTTATTTTAACGCATATATTTGTTCTATTTTTTATACCTCTTTGTGCAAACTGGTGAGCTGTTCTTTGAGCTGCATAAGCTGTCCAGCGAGTTCTTTGAGCTGCCCGTCGAAACTTCTGCAATGGTTTGAAAAGGGCCCTTCGCCCTCCATCGCCTTGGCCCTCAACGCGACCTGCTGGCGCCTGGAGGAGGGCGGGTGGCCCTGCAGTTGGGTTCTCGCTTCGTACAATTTCTCAGGGGCCTGCTGCTGTTGCTGCTGCTTTGACGGTCCGACCCAGGGGTCGAGCGCGTGGCCGAACTCGGAGCGAAAGTTGGTTTTGACGTTGGAGTTCTGGTTGGGCCGCACCGAAGGGCTGATTTGCGTGACCGCCGTCAGCCGCTCCATCATGGGGTAGGCGAGTCCGAGGAACTCGTACTTGGTGGCCGAGGTGCTGAACGTGGTGCACATGAGCAGATGCATCTGCAGAATGGGCAGCACGGACGCCAGGCCCACCAGTTGCGTGCGGAACATGCGCTCCTTGGTCTCGAACTGGCGCTGCACCTCCATCGCCATGGCCGCGTGCGTCTTCGCGATCGCCTCTTGCATCCCTTGGCAGAACGAGTTGATCGAACTTTTCTCGGACTCCATGTTTTTCTTCAGCTCGTCCAACAGCAATCGGAACATGACCATTCCCTCTCGCACTGAACCCTGCAGCTCGCACACACCCTAAAAAAATGCAGTGTACTTTTTATTATAAAGAATTTTTATCTTTAATTTTGATAAAACGTAAGAAAAATATATCACTTTTCAAATAAATAAGTAAATATTTCTAGTGATTTTTTTTTTCTTTTGGCTGATTTCACTTTTTTGATATAGTTTATTTTGCAATTTATCTTCTTCATAATATTTGAGGTGAGAATTTTTAAAAAAAGGCTGAAAATTCTTAAATAAGTCACTTTTGGCAAAATTTTGCCATGAATATTAATAATTTATTTTCTTCATGATTCATCAATTAATGAAACTAAATTAAAATGACAATTAATTGCTTTACTAATTGCACAACATGTGAAAAAAGGTAAATATAGGAGATAAACTATATTTCTCATCATTTAAAAGTACAGCAAATTTTGATTAATTTTTATCTAGATTCTTTTTTTTTAACATTACGTTATTTTTAAAATATAAAATAATTTTTTTTCAAGATATTTTAATGAAGAAATAAAAATTGTGAATTTTTTGTTTCTTACCATGACGGCCCTTTCGAGTTTTTTACAGCCCTGCGTGTAAGCAGTGTCGATGTCGACGCACTGCAGTCGAGACTCGGGCGGCGTGTCCCTGAAGCAGTGCATGCAGAGCATGTTCTTTTGCGAGTTGGAGAACATAATGAAAGGCTCGTTGTGTGTGGCGCACTGCAAGTGAACGAATTGAAAAGGGGAAGAAAAAATCAATCCCTTTATGATCAAAGCGAGAAAAACGACAAAAAAGCGAACCTTCTTTTTTCCCTCTTTGTTGAACTTGGACATGTGGATGACGTCATGCGTGGAGAACATTTTGGCCCTGTGCGTGTTGTCCCGGCAGCCGGCGCACAAAGCCTGACCTGCAATTATTGTAAATGGTGAGATCTGCAACTCAAATCGGAGCCGAATTCGTTCCTACCGCAGGTGTGGCAGAAGTACATGGCCGCGCGGTTCCTCTTGTCGCAGTTGGCGCAGGCAGGGTTCTCCGCGTTGTACATGTCGATGAGCTGGCGCAGGAGGTGGTCCGGGGGCGGCAGCGGAGCTCCGTCCTTCAGTACCGTCTTTTGTCTGCACGTTCGATGGATGAGGAGGAAAAAATAAAAACAGTCAAAAAGTCAAAGGAGAGAGGAAACAACAAAGAAAAGCATGCTGCGGTGTCAAGTGGCGAGGGATGTTTTTATTGTCTGGCTGAGGAGAGACTTAAAAAATTGTTCATCTTCTCAAAACCACTGACTGAGAGCTCTGACCTACTTCAATAAGAACAAGAAAAAATTAAAAAAATTTAATTAAAATATCAAATAAAAATATGACACTAAACAGAAAGTGAAACCAAAACTTCACTTTCACTTACTTTCTTTTTCAAGAAAACAATCAATACTTATTTTTTGTAATTTAAAGGATTTTGGAAATTTTGAATTTTTCGGAATTTTTTAATTAACTTTGGCGCTCACCCGCAAAGGGGGCATTGGATTTTGTTGTCGTTGTCCCGTCCCTGAAGGCAGCGCGAGCAAAACGAGTGGAAGCACCCGAGTAGGCAGGGTTCGCTGTAGAAGTCGTTGCACACAAAGCACAGCAGGGGATTGCGCCCCTGGGCCCCTTGCTGGGCCATCGCGAAGGGCTGCTGCGGTCCAGGCACTGCAGCCGCCGGCGTCGAGCGACCTTCCTCCCCAAACCCGCCAGAAGACATCCGCTCTCCTCAGCTCTGGTCCTGCACTCTCTCACACTCGCTGCACCTTCCCGCTCTGCAGCATCGATGGCGACCGAAACGGGCACCGATCTTCGCAAAACTACCCCCTTTGGAAAAGTGCAAATATTCCGCAACTAATTCATTTACCATCTAAAAGTTTCAATCTTAAAATTTAAAAAAATTAATATTTTTTAATTTTTTATTGATTTTATTTTTTTGAAAATAATTCAAGGGTTGGTTGGACCAAAATTTTCAGGGGTTGGTGTTTTGAATCATCGATGCGGTGCAAGAAATCGCCCAACCCAGATGCTATTGATCGCGCTCAGCTGCGCCGTGAGAGCGCCGCCAACCCCTAAAGCCACCCCTGAAAACAGTTAGTCGCTGTGCACTTGTGTTCGGCTGTTTTTTTTTTATTTTGCTCGAGCAATATTTTTTGGCAACGTTCCATTCATCTAATCAAATCTCGGATTTTTACAACTTGTAACTTTGATTTCAAAGCTAAATCGTCACGAGTTTTGCTTTTCACTGGGGGTTGTTGGCATAAATATCTAGACGAGCACCCCTGCAGTGGGTTTGTGGAGCACACAAATGTGGAGCAACCCTGCTCTCGGGTGTTGACCGGGTCACAAGTTACAAAAGATACCGCGCGCGCGTTTCTATAATAATCTAGGATGGAGCTCGTCGGGGGAGAAAGAGAGCGCCGATCATTATTTTCGCTGTACACGTGTTTGTTTGCCCACCTACTTTCTGCAATAAAAATGTAACAAGTGTGGAAAAGTGTTACACCCTCGTTTTCATACAAACAGCACTTCATTAAAAATAATATATGATGAAGTGGAACAACATGAATATTTTTAGAAAAACCAGAGACAATACACCGAAATTAAAATTTCTTTTAAATATTTTATGTTATCTCATTGAAATTACAAATCATAGGAAAAAATATAAATTATCCAATAAGAGAGATGAAATATCTAAATTTCAAACAAAAATTCATCAATCATGAAACAGAAAATAAATTGACCACTTATCAACATACTTTGGAAAATGTTTTGCCAACAATTAAATTAGATGAAAGGTGTGAATTTTTTTAAATTCAAATGCTTTCTCCAAATTAAAGTATTTCCTTAATTGCACCGCATCTATTCTTCTTGCATAATAATTCTCAAAAACTTTCAAAGGAAATGCGATATATTTTTTTTAATGATAATATCACAGCAAATTTTGTTTTTAAGGTACATAGTGGTGTCCCGCTTAAGGCAGTGGTTTATCTTTTTATATTTTTTGGTAAATTAAAAATTTTTAAAATAATTTTTTAGATATATTCAAGAAAATTTTAATTTTTAAAGGTTTATAAATATTTTTTTTAGCAGAAAAGCTTCATTTATATGCGAGGATAAATTTTGTATTTGACATACTTATCTTTTTTATTCATTATGTATTAATTTTCACTTTTGAAAACTCAGCATTAGATATTTTTAGCAGATTAGCCATTTTTAATATTCCCTCCGTACAATTTTCCCCAACCACTTGTTTGGGAATTTATAATTACATGATGTGCAAAAAAATGAACTTTGTCGGTCTGCGTCTAACTCGAGTCAAACACAAAAGCGTGTACCGTGCAAAAGTTGACAGGTGGAAAAAAAGTGGCTGGGATGCTGGCGGGCAAGGTGTTGAATTGCGTTTACCGTGCATTGAAGAAAGAAAAGTGATAAGTATGTGTGAGACTGCGAGGGGAAATCGCGTTTGCAGTAGTGCCCTGTGCGGAATGAAATTTCGAAAACCGCACCGAACCGCAACCGCGATTTTTCAAACCGTAACCGCCCACAACCGCAAGGTTTTTTGGCGGTAAAACCACAACCGCACCGCGGTTTTACCGCAAAAACCGCAAAAAAAAATTTTGCCTGCGGTTGCGGTTTCCGCGGTTTAACCGCAACCGCACCGCAACCACGGTGCGGTTTTTGGTAACCGCGGTGCGGTTTTAACCGCAACTGCATACTCAAAAATTAAAAATTAAATCTATTAATTACCAAATGAACCAAAAGTAATAGGTCACTGATTTAAACTTGGATAGTCAAAATTATAAATTGATTTAAAATATTTTAAATTAAAATTTTTGAAAGCCATACGGCCCATACGGCTACGGCCGTATATGTGTGCATCATGGTATAATATAAAGAAAAAGTGCGAGAAAGACGTACGTACACAAAATATTTTAATCAAATTTTCCCATTAATTTTCGGCTATCCAAGCTTACATCAGTGACATAATGTTTTTGGTTCATTCTGTAATTGATAGATTTAAATTTTTTTACATGCAGTTGCGGTTAAAACCGCACCGCGGTTGCCAAAAACCGCACCGTGGTTGCGGTGCGGTTGCGGTTAAACCGCGGAAACCGCAACCTCACGCAAAAATTATTTCAAATTATTTTTTGGCGGTTTTTGCGGTAAAACCGCAACCGCAAGGTTCCAAACCGCAACCGCACCACAACCGCAGCCAAACCCAACGGATATTCCGCAACCGCGGTTGCGGTGCGGTTTTTGCGGTTAAAACCGCAAAAACCGCCAACCGCACAGGGCACTAGTTTGCAGAAAAAGCAGAGCGATATTTTGCCGCGGGAGCGATGCAAGTAGTGCGCTCTGTCGGCGGATTTTGAACCAAACTATTCAGCCAGCAGCTGGTTTTTGCGACATGTTTTGAATGTGGAGTTTTTATTTTAGACTTTATTAGCAACACAGGGCCTATACCTGAGACCTGAGACTTTCAACATTCCACTCGGACCGAAAGTTAATTTATTATTTCTTGGAAACTTGAAAGTCTAGAAGTCTAGAGATCAAAAGTCCACAGAATGATGTGGTAAAAACTAAGGGCCGGACCACCTTTTGCTCAATCCTTGGCCAAATTTTATCTCAAAACTCTCAAATTATTGCATAAAAAATGGCATCTGAAACTGCTGACGTTAAATTCAGCATTAAGGCTCTGCACGACGGGTTTGAATCTTGTCTTGAAGAAGAGGACGACATTCACATTGACAAATACATCATTGCCTACAAAGAACTTTATAAGTATAAAAAAATAATGGTTTTAAAATTCTAGTAAAAATCTAAACTATTGCTTAAATTTTTCCAGATTTCTGATATTGATGGGCAAGTTATTCAGTTTCGTTGGCAGTGACATAAAAAGCAAACTGGATATCCTGGAAGAGATCAGACAGAGCGACAAAGACGGAAATTTTGTGACTGTGAAAAAGATGATGGTGTTTGAAAAGGAACAGGACCTTTTGAAGAAGAAGGGATATGTTTCCGGCAGCAGGACGTTCCTCCGTCTTCACAGGGGTCTTGGTAAAAAAAAAATTATAAAAAATGCATTTTTTTTTTCAATTTTAATATTTTACAGATTTTATTAGTTTGTTTTTGCAAAAAGTCAGCGAAGTTGATCACAAGGATGGAACAGCTACTGTGTGCCAGGAGGCGTACAATGTGACCTTAGCCAACCACCACACCTGGGTCATTCGAAAAGCAGCTGGAGTGGCCATGTACGCCATGCCGACCAAAGAAAATTTGCTTATTAAGGTAAAAAATTATTTAAAAAAATTAGACTTGTCAAATTTTCATATTAATTTTAATTAATGGAAATTTAATTGCAGATATTTGGAGAGGACGAGGAAGAAATTCGCATTGCGCAGGAAAACTTACCTCAAATGTTGGAGGCCAGTCGAGAAGTTCATAGCCGAACGCAAAAACTCTATGAACAACACAGCCTGCTCGATTTGCCTTAACCTGACGTTGCTCTTACACTTTTCCATTCCCTAGCTCCACAGGTATTATAATTTAACTTAGCTAGCTTTTTTTTTAATTTGGCCTAGTTGTTTTGATGTCAGCAACGCGATATAACAATTTAATCTTCTCGCAATTCCCACATTGGAACAAGATCTGTCTTGTGCCAAATTTTCACCTCCTAATATATCTTGTAAATTGGAAAATTTTATTCTGTGTTAGCCACATTTTGGCACCAATTGTTAATTATTGAAATTGTGCATTTTTAGTTTAATGCAAGTTAGAGACGTTAGGTTTATTTTAATAATGCAAAGTGCAAATGTTTTTAAAATTAAAAATTGATTTAATTCAAGTATTTACAAAATCAAACAGGAATGTTTTTAATTCTTCCATTCTTATGGCGTGAGTGCACCTGGAAAAATTATTTTCTATTAGCAAGAAATTCCATCAAAAAATTTAATTTATTATTTACCAGCAATGCACGCAGTCATGTCACACACAACGTTGGCCACCAGCAATGCCCAGTATGCGTTTTTGGTGAAGTCCTTTGTTTTGCTTGGCGCCATCACTTTTAAAGTTGAAACGAGTGTGGCTAGGGCTCCGAAATTAGAAAAGCCACACAGGGCGTACGTTGCAACCGTCATCGACCGTTCCTTAAAAAAATCGTAAATAATTTAAACAAAACAGCCTCAATAAATTTACCGAAATTATTCCTTCGAGATCTTTCAACTCTGTGTACGCAACAAACTCGTTGATGACAATTTTAATGCCGACCAACTTGCCGACCTTCTGCGAATCTGCCCAGTCGGCGCCCATTAGATAGGCAAAGGGTGTAAAAAGTAATCCAAGCAGGTACTAAAAAATTAATTGGAGTGAAAATTAAGATAATTTAATTTTCTTCAAAATACCTCAAAAGTAACTCCAGAGATACCAGTCAGTAAATAAAAGAAGGTTTCAATCACAGAATTGGCAAAGGGAATCACCGAGAGCCAAATTATCAAGCAAGCCACGATAGACTTGATGATTTCAAAGGCATTGCTCGCACTGCTTGACGTTATGTCAAAAACGTTTACCTTTTCCCTAAATTTTTATTATAATTTATTTCATAATTTCGTGTCGTAGTTTTTACTTGTTATCCTTTTTTAGTTCCATTTCTTTGGTCTCAGATGGTTCCGTGTCAGGCATGAATAATTTGCAAAGTCCTATTGCGCCGATCGAAGACATGATCGAAGCTGTGATCATGTGTACGGCCGAGATCCCAAATTGTATATAGGCTGCCATAACAGAACCTGCGGCCAAGAAATATTAATTTAACTATTGACAGTATTCATTTTAAACAGACGCTTTGTCAAAGATTGTGATAAATATAATTTTTTTCAAATTTATTTTGTGTTGTATCTTATTCTTACAGCGTTTTAAGAACAATATTAAAAAAATAGCGAGAAATGTTTAAATGATGAAACTTAGAGACAGAAAAAAGTGCAACAGTGACCGAGTTCAAGGTCACCTTTTTGAAATTTTATTTAAAATTTCCACTAACTTGACTTTAAACACCAAGAGGTGTTTTTTAACGACTTAATTTTTCTTTGAAAAGTACGTCAAAAATAAAATTTTATTGTTGTAATTCAAAGATTATTTAACGGTGTACAGCCCTGTTTTATTTTTATTTTGCCGCGCGTGTAATTATCCTTGAGCAGATTAATTTCGTCACCTGCGATTGTAGATAATCCGCTAACCATGACGGTGAATATTTCCGACCTTGTCATTTTGGGCAGGTAATGTTGAATCAAAATCGGGGACTCTGTCTGTTTTTCAAGTTCAAATGACGTGAATGATAAAAATGTACTTCTTCCTGTTTTTTATTATTTTACCTGTCCGAGGAAAATGCTCGAGGCTGACGTGAAAGCCTCGACTTCGGATTGGGTGCCCAAAACCCAGAGCAGCGCTCTGCCGAGGCTAGAAATGAACCGAGGTAGAATGTTGAGGTGGTTCAGAATCGCGACGACGAAACTCAAAAACAAGATCACAGGCATCACCTGAATCATGGCAAAACTTTATTTTAAATAATAAATTAATAACTAAAATGGCCTCACCAAAAATGCAAAAACTGAATTTGCAAGCTCCTCTCCGAAAACCATTGACCCTCCGCCTTTGGAAAAATTCAAAAAGGCAGTGAATTTGCTTGTGATGCAGGTGATGAAATCGTTCACAAACGGAATCCGTAACATGATCAGACAAATGTAAAACTGCAACAGCAGCGATCGAAGAGGCACCTCAATTTTAATCTGTATAATTTTGAAAATGAGCATTTCAATATAATATATTAAATATATCAATTTCAACCTTTCTTTTGTAAGAGGAAAACAACCACAGGACGAAGAGGTTCTTGAACACCCCAATAATCGATCTCCAGCGCGAAAAATCATCCCAAATATCCCATATCAAATAAGCAGTAAGTGCGCCCACTTGTAGTCCGTAAATCAAAATCTTCGTCATTCTTAAAATTTTAATTAAAAAAAAAACAGTTCAAAAAAATAATCAAACTCACAGAGGACCAATTGTTTTGATAGACAGTCTATAAATCGGTCTAATAAGCATGCTGATTTTCCCGACGTAGTGGCCAAAGTAGCAAATCACGTAGATGAGATAGAAAAAGAGGAGCACCAAAAGCAAACCCTCGTCTTGGCAAATTATCCACTGGCGTGCGCTTGTGTTTATGGCGAACCAGTAGATCAGAGCCCCCGTGAAGTACAGAACGATCAACATGTGCGCCACTCGCTTGTTGGTCAGCACGCGCCGAACTCTCGTCCACGTGTCGACCACACTTTTTGGGATTTTGATCTTTTTCTAGAAAAATATTTTATTTTTTATTCAGATTTTATTTTATTTTTCACCACCTTTGGCTTCTGTTGCGCCGATTCGTCGAGTTGATTGAGTTGCCCACCATTATTGAAATTATTTCCGTTGAGGTACTGCAACACAAAAGGAGGTCACAACCTTAATTTCAAGGAGATGATGGGAGTTCTGATTGATTGCAAAAAAATAAGACTCGGTCAACTTTCCGCGTTAGTGCAGAACTTCTAAGAAGTGATAAGGTATTGATTGATTGCAAAAATTCCAGAAATTGCGCGTCGTTTTTGAGCTGATTATCAATTAATAATACGTAAAATGTTCAGAAATTGCAAAAAAAAAAATCTGAAATGATTATCACTTTTGTTTGTCACTGATTGTCAATTTTTTACCTCTCCCTTTGAATCCTCAATAGTAAAAACTGGTTCAAGTGGCGGCGTCTCTATGTCGAATGCTGGATTTTCCTTTCCGTCCATTCTTGACGTCAAAGCCTGTATTAAAAATGTTTAATTGTTGGTAAAACAAATAATCGAACACATATATGCTAGCAAAAAGCAAGAATTTTGCCAGAAAGCATTGAAATTTAACTTCTGTCACAGACTTATGTATTAAATTAAATTTTTAATTTCAAACATTAATCAATTCAGAAGTTAATTTGTTTCAACTCTTCCTCAAATTTTTTTAAATTCACGTTTCAAGAGGTGATGAAAAAAAACTTACTTGAAGGATCTACTCTTAACACTTATTGCTTGATGCACGTCCAAGGCGAAAATAATTTCGCAGCATTTTTCCCAACGTGAACAAAGCAGCAGAACAATAAAAGTGGTTTTTAGACCGTCGGTTCGCTCCCACCTTTCCTGCTAAAACAAACGAAGTCAATTTTTGACAAATTAATTCAATTTTTTTGTCCTGTAAAAACAATGTTTTACTCAATCGTTATTCAAAGGTAACGTGAGCTGTGTGTATATCTGAATGACAAAAGCGCGAGCTCTCAATTATGGTTGGTGCGAGAATGTTTTTTTCTACCTCTTGATTCCAAAGCAAACACTGCCTGCTTTGCGACGCGGCGTTTTACAATGTTATCGATAAGGAGAGAATTTTTTCGTTTATGACTTTAACAATAATGATAATAATTGTGATCAACAAAGAAAAGAAAAATAAGCGATTCGTGGAAATTTATACGTAGTTGATGAGGTTGCTAATCCTTCCTGTTAATCTTCTTAATCAAAAGAAAAGAAATCTGGAAGCTGTCAAATAACTGCAGATTACATGAACGGTACAAGCTTAATTATTGAAGTTAAATGTCAGCAGTACTAATTTTGTGATAAGAACAAGATTTATTGCTTGGTCTCGAACATTAAGATAATTATATAAAAACTGACCCCATCATATTCTATTACATTTTTGAATTAAAAATTTTAAAAATTTGCATCTTTTAATTAAATCATCTATTTATAAAGACGCACGAAGAAGGAAAAATTATTTGAAATTTTTGCAAACAAAATTGAAGAGAGTCTGTTCCACGAGTTCTTGCTCGCATTTCTGCGAGGTAAGCGTGTCAGATGAATCGGGCATGAGTTGCGCCTAAAATGTGAGCGGTCGGTTGAGACACAAAGATTCGCACCAAGCATAATTGAAACTTGAAATTAACAAACACATCATTTGGAGTCAAAGGAGAAGGAAAAAATTGATGTCCCATTTTAGAGGGCGATCTCCTTAAATTATGTTGAATTGACTTTTGACTTCAAAAACTGATTTTAGATTCTTTTCAAGATCCGTGTTGCTCTGTTGCTAAGCAAAAAGCCGGCGAGTTTATAAAAATTGACCTCATTGAAATTTTTTAACAGAATAAATAAAAAGCTAAAAAAAAATTAAATGACGAATTATTTAAAAAATTAACCATCTGAAATCTTATGAACATAAATATTATTTTCATAGTCATGATAAAAACTACCCACAAATGAATAAGTTTTTTTGGATTCCTTTCCTTACCTTGAAGATTTTAGCGGAGGATTTATAATGAAGGTTTGGGAGAGCAAAGTGGCTCCAACAGCTCGAGAATCAGGAGTGCGAGCCTCTGCTCAGCGTGCCGATTTTGCTGCGCCTCATTTGTGCGTTTTGATTAATTTTCCCACCTCTCTTCGTCAACTCCAACTCAACGGAGAACACGCCGGCCAACACCAGCGAAGAGTGGTTTCCCCAACGTCACCTGGTTTATTCTTCTGCCTGTGGAATTCCCCACTTTTTTCTTAATATAATATTTCACTGACCTTACTCGAAGGAAAACACAATGTGGAGCCAAATCAATATAACTCTTGCCTCTTCATAGTGTGTCATTCAAAATTATATAGATTAATAAGCATTTCATTCCTTTTGTTAAATTGTAGACCTATACCTATAAAATACGTCCAATATGTAAAATATTTTATTGATGACAAAAAGAATAAAAAAAATTACACATTTTTTTTTATATATAGAAATTTGGTTTTTGTTTGAAGGGAAAAATAAACTGATTAAATAAATTTTATTGCATTTTAATGAGGGTCTTTTCTTGCATAAAAGAGGTAAATAAGCAACCAGCGCTCAATCGCCCCTAATTATAATAAATGCATTTTTGAAATTTTCATTCTCAAGCGACAATAGATTGTGAATGCAAGCACTGCGGTAAGAAATGTTCACAATATCATATTCTTGAATGTAATGAACGAAAACTAAGCCTAAGAGAGGCTGCAAAAATCAAAATTAACTAATTTTGTACTTTGTAATAATTATCGAAACAAGCTTAATTGTAAAATTAATTTTAGGAAGACAAATTAGCTTTAGACACCCGTTGTACACCTAGTTGTGTTCAATAAATACTCTATCTTTTGTATAGCTTGTATTGTTACTTTAAATTTCATCCGTAAGAGAGCTCGAGATAGCATTTTAGCAAACAGAAAAGTCAATGACCCACGGCTCCACTTAAGAGTTGCACAGTCCTATATCCACTTTCTAAAACTTTATTGTGAAGCAAACCACAAAGTAGGCGTCATGTGTATATCGCGGGTCATTTTAAAAATCCAGAAAAATACAAACGTGGGCGTGGCTTAGATGTTTACAAAACACCGGCCCCGAGAATCTGCTAACAAAATTTACTCCGGCGTTTCTAAATCATATTCTCTAATTGGTTTCAAGATTTAAAATGGTAAGTTGACGATTCACAATTCCAGTACAGAGTTCTAAATTTTCTTCCACGCAGTTTTCAACCAAGTGTAAAAAGGATAAAGCCCACGACGAGAGTATTTGGAGTTGTGCGTGGGGTCAGTTGAAAATCACCAAGGAGAAAGAACCCCGCGAGGAGGACGATAATGAAGAACAGAAAGACAGGTTTTACTGTTAATATTATCTTCATATTTTTCTTAATTTGTTTTTTTCATTTTAAAGAGAATCTCCGCCGCCCGAAGAGGAAATTTTGGATTATGTTGTGAGTGGTGGCCTCGACGACATGGTTAAAGTTTGGCAATACAACGATCACTTGAGTGGAGACGGTGTACTGAAATTGAGGAACAGTTGGGACGGACACTATCTTGGCGTTATTTCAGTCGACGTCAGCTCCGAGGGAACAAGTGAGCTTTTAACGGGCTCAAATTTGGAAAATAATTGATATCTTTTTTAATCTTCAGTGATTGCTGCAAGCTGTCTTGACTCAACCATCAAATTGTGGGAAGTTACTCACGGGAAAAAGTTCTGCACAATTGACGCTGGTCCGGTGGATATTTGGACAGTGGCGTTTTCTCCAGACTCGACGCATGTGATCTCCGGAAGCCACTCGGGAAAGATCCACATGTGAGTCCCGACGGCAAGTACATTGCAAGTGGAGCCAACGATGGCATTATAAACATTTTTGATGTGGCAACAAGTAAATTGGTCCATACCTTGGAAGGTGAAATATTTAGTATTAAAAAAATTTCTTCTCTATTATTATTTATTTTAGGTCACGCCATGCCCATTAGATCGCTCTGCTTCTCCCCTGATTCTCAATTTCTTCTCACCGCGTCAGACGATGGCCATATGAAATTATATGACGTGTAAGAGTATTTAAATTTAGTAAATCCTTCATTATTTTTTGAAATGGCAGGTCTCACGCGAATGCTGTCGGAACCATGTCCGGACACGCTTCGTGGGTGCTAAGTGTGGCATTTTCTCCAGACAATAAGCATTTTGTCTCTGGCAGTGCAGATCGTACTGTTAAGCTTTGGGAACTGCAGGACAGGCAGTGCATTCACACATTCGCAGAACATGATGATCAGGTATTTAATTTAGTTCTTTAATTAATAAATTTCTACAATTTTCTGAATGAACAAGGTTTGGGGAGTGAAATTCAGCCCAGACGGAAAGAACATCATGTCGGTTTCAGAGGATCGGACGATTTTGATTTACGATTGCAAATTCCCTGAAGACAAACCACCAGAAGAGACAACAGACCTACTGGATATGTACAACTAAAGTTTCAGACTACTATCGTGAAGTGCAAAATAAATGTGAAACTTTTGTAATATAAGACAAAATATTATATATTATTTTAGAGTTAAATTACAGGGCATATTACAACTATCTGCTCTCCTCTCAAGAGAAGCTGAGGAATGTGTCTTTTGCACAACTCAAATTTATTTCCAACTTTCTGAATGACTTTCGGTCTCACTATCCCTCGTCTTGCTAATTCTTCACTGGATAATTTTACAGATTCTCCTAAATTCAAAGGCACTTTTCGTTGCATCTTCCTCAAAAAAGTCTCCTCGACGTCTGTCAATGCCAAGTTCCAATGTTTGTCGAAGGCAACCAAATAGCCAACCATGTCGTTTGTTCCTTGGTAGATATTTCTTGTTTTCACCTTGGATTAAAAATTAAATATTAAATTGATTGAAAAAAATTAATAACTTAAAGCGCTCACCATAACTCTAATTTTCTTATCTCTGTACTCAACCAGTTTTAAAAGTGGTCCTTTCACTGCCTCCATTTTGTCCATCAGGTTTCTTTGGTGCCTATTTTCTCTAATTGGTCTGGTGACAGGCATTTGGTGGGGCAAAAAATTTCTTTTTATAGACTCCTGATGCTTACTTGGTGATATGTAGTCCTTGGACTTTTTTGTTAGCGGCTTTTTCTTCAGCGCCCTCACCATGTTGCCTTCAAAGTCCTCAGGGTCGTCGGAAGCACTTGCCACTTTTTTGTACTGGTCCAGGTTGTTCAGTCTTTTGGTGTGAGGGAAAGGCAGCTTTGGCAGAAAATTCTTTCCAAGAGTCAGAGCTTTTGTGGCATTGAAGTTGGAGCTGTGAACGTCCAACTCGTCTCCACTCGACTCAGATAGGCTTTCAGATTCTTCTTCATCGGAGGAGGATGACGAAGATTTGCAACTTCGCCTCCCACTTGTTTCACTCACTGCCGGTTCTATCTGGGAGGTGCCTAAAATTTTTTAAATTTAATTATAATTATTTGAGAGTAATGTAGAAAATATACTGGGCATTAATTCTGATTGTGAGGTGGATGGTATTGGTACCAGTGTGCTTTCGTCAGAGGAGACGGAGGTGGTTAGTCTTTTTTTCTGTGGGGTATCCTTTTTATAAGGCGTGTCTCTCTCAGATTCAGAACACTCGAGATCCTGCAGCAGCAACTGGCGAATTTCTCTGTCTCGCTTTGTGTTTGGCGTTTCATAGGGGTGTTTCTGGCAGCTGGGGGGCCCCATGATTTTTGTCGGCGACAAAGATCCTTCGTCTATGATGTTCTCGGCAGCTTCGAGCATGTCGTCTCCACATTCGGCTCGCAGCGTGTCCATTTCCTGATCGCTGACAAGGGGTGAGGACGCAACCTCTTGAGAGAAAGCCTTTCGAGGGGTGAAAAAATGGCTGGGAATGTCTCCAGAATGTCCTGCTGCTTGTTGATCTTTCAACTCTTTCCATGTAGAGGGTTCTTTTCCTTGCTCTGATTTTTTGCTTTGGCGGCTCATAATTGTTCTCTGTGAGAAATAAAAATAAATTGAATCTCAGGCCAATTTAATTAATTTATACTTTTCTAATGTACATCTACATCCTTATAAAGTAATCAAAATCAAAACCCATAAAAATGCCCATAAATAATTTTGTTAAAAATTAAAATGTAGCATTGAGTGTGTGTTGAATTACATACTAAATATAAATCTTATGCATAATTATATTCTTCCAGGTTTTTCACCTTTCTTAAAAGTCTGTGATGATTTATACTTTAAAAAAAGTTCTATAAATACCTTATCATTTCATCAAAATATTTGAAAATTTAAAATTCAATTTCAATTCCAATTAAACTTTGGATTTCGCACATTCGCTTTGAATGTTTGGGTTTGCTTTTGCCGTCTTTTCGCGGCGACCGGCGGAGCGCAGCTGGCGATTGCTCTTGCCATATAAAACCGGTAAAATTATTTCTCTCTAATTTAAAATACCAATTTTTAGCTTTGAAAACGCATTTAATAATACATATTATACAAAATTGATCTTAAAACTTAATATTTTGATGACAGATTATCAATAAATTAGCCTTATTCGATAATTTTAACCAAATTTCTTATTTTGATGAAATATAAGTTTTACCGGTATAATTTTTTTTCGTATAAATACCGGTATTTCTTTACTTTTTGTTTGTGATACAAAATCAAAACAAACGCACGTTTCGCTAACAAAGACCAAAAGGACGTGTCCTTCTAGCTGCCTTCGAAGTCATCGACCTTGTACGGGATTCTGCAGAATGGGTCCGATCAAAGCACAGGCAAGTTACAAAAAAGAAGTGCCGACGGAAACTTGGCTTGAATGGAAAAAGGAGAAGAAGGCGAGAAAAGCAAAGAAAAGAGAGAAACTTTTGTCGGAGCTTGATAAACAAAAAGAAGCAGCTTCCGAGATCTCCACCGAAATTGAACCAACTTCTCAAGAGGAGAGCAAAGGTCGGTCTTGGACCTTGTCCATTGCGCTGCCAGGAAACATTCTCGACAATGCGCAAACACCGGAGCTTCGATCTGCTCTTGCTGGACAAATTGCCAGAGCTGCTGCAATTTTCAACGTTGACGAAGTAAGCCACGACTTATGATAATAAAATTTTCTCACAAAATTTACTCCCTATTATATTTATAGATTGTAGTCTTCAATGAACATGGAAGTCTGGACAAAGATAAGGACAACAATTCTGGGCTCGACGAAGATTTGCCCCCGTCATGTCTTCAGCTGAGCAGAATTCTGCAGTACCTTGAATGTCCGCAATATTTGAGGAAGTATTTTTTCCCCATTCATCAAGACTTGAGACACGCAGGACTTCTGAATCCCTTGGACGCCCCAAATCACTACAGAAGAGACGACAAAGCAAAATTTAGGTAAATTTCTGATTGAATTTTAATTGACTGAAATTATTAAAATGAATTTATTACAATAGAGAAGGATATGTGACGGAGAAGGTGAAGAAAAGTGCCCATTCCATGGTCGACGTTGGGCTTCAACGTCCCATACCTGTGGACACACAGTTGACCCCTGGCCTCAGGGTCACGGTTGAGATTGAGGAGCATCCAAGTGGAGACATGAAGAAGCTGCAGGGTCGAGTGGTGCCTCCGTCAACACCTGTGAAACAAGAAGGTACTTACTGGGGCTACTCTGTTCGGTGTGCCCCTTCGTTAGGGGCAGTTTTCACTCAGTGCCCTTATGACGAGGGATACGACCTTCTGGTAGGCACTTCTGAGAGGGGAGACCCTGTCCCCAAATGCCTGCCAAGTTTTAAGCACATCCTTGTAACGTTTGGTGGCCTGAGGGGACTGGAGCTTGGCCTTGAAAGTGATGAGAGCCTCAAGGTTGACGACCCCTCAATGCTTTTTGACTTTTATCTCAACACGTGCCCTGGACAGGGCTCAAGAACCATCAGAACTGAGGAAGCCTTGCTTGTTACACTGGCTGCACTTCAGCCTGCTATTAATTCAGCTAATTTTTAAATATACCAAATTCTATTAGATAGAAAAAAATATTTTTATTTTCGATTGAGCTTAATAGGAACAAAGATTTCCGCAAAATAGTAAATAAATGCCGCAAATTTATCTGGAATAATTTTGGCTGCAAAATACACTCTAGCACTTCTTGGAATCGATGGCAGTTTGAACAGATTCTTTGAGTGTCGAAATGACGGCTTTTGGGTCTTCAGCTCGAATCACTGCCGTACCAGAAACAATCCAGTTAGCTCCAGCCTAAAATTTTATTTAAAGGAACTGATTTTATCTTTAAATTTAATTATTTACTTGTGAGCATTGATCAATTGTGTTCAGTCCAACGCCTCCGTCAACTTCGATGTTTAGTTCTGGGTAATTTTCCCTCAGCCAAGAGACCTTTGGCATCATGTCGGACATGAACTTTTGACCTCCAAAACCTGGCTCGACAGTCATGATCAGGACCAAGTCCGCAAAGTCGATGTACGTCTTTACCACATCCACAGGTGTGCCTGGTTTGATAGCCAGTCCAACCTTACATACATTTTTTTTTTTTAATATAAACAATCTTTTATTTTTTTATGATGATTTGAATTTAAAGTCGGCTTTTCCTCGATGGGTTTTTAAGTTTTGTTTATTATAAAAAAAATCAACATGTTTTGGCTGCGGGCTGCAGCCATAATTCATGAGCTGTGAAATCATTTTGACTAAAACTAGTACAAAAATAAATCTGTTAAAAAATATTTTTCTTTCACAGTAACCATTTTCCGTGACAAATTATTTAAAGTTACCATTTTATCACAAAAACAATTTTAAACACAAAATTATACATTGAATTCAATTTTTTTTTTAAACAATTAATTTTTATAATAATTTTGGCCATAGTATTAAAACGTGTTTTGAGCGTACCTTTCTTGGCAGTGGTAGAGAGGATTTTTCGGTTGGTTTTTTTAAGGAAAAAATTTGTTTTAAGTTACAAAATGTAACTATATAATTTTTCACAAAAAATTCTTGTTCAGAATTTTTTTTTTTAAAGTGATTTTTTGAACTATGTAATTCTTGTCAAAATGATTTCACAGCCCGCAGTTGAAACTACATGTGTTTTTCTTAAACAATAAACAACTCACAAAAATCCATTGAGGAAAACTGACTGAAAATTCAAATCATCGTAAATAAACCCTCGAACGTGAAATTCTACTACAAATTTTAATTTTTATTTTTTCTTTACGTACCTTCATTCCAGCCTCTTTAATTTTTCTGCAGACTTCAGGAACGTCTTTGACCGGCTCAACGTGGAATGTGTATTGATCAACTCCAGCGTCAGCCATAGGCTCGATCCACTGCCAACAGGTGTTTTTTAATTATAATTCCACGAGGGATTAAATTTTAAACTCACCTGCTGCGGATTGGAGACCATCATGTGCGTTTCGAAAAACGCCCTAGGAATTTTGCTCCTGAGGCATTTGACGACAGGGTGTCCGAATGTGAGGTTGGGCACAAAGTGTCCGTCCATGACATCCAGGTGCAAATAGTCCGCGCCTTGGTCCAGCAGTCGTTGAGATTCTTCGGAAAGCTGCGCCAAGTCTGCGTTAAGGATCGACGGTCCTATCATTGGCTTCAGGCAGGGCATTTTCTGTCCAACACAATTATTATTAATTATTGTAAATTCATTATTTACAAGGAAAGTTAAATACTTGCACAATAATGATAATGATATGACAAAGCAAAATTTAAATTTTTTAAAAAAAATATTGTGCACGTTGTTATCCACGATACTTACATTCACAATTTTATTTTCCTGTGGAGATGTTTTGCTTTCAAAGAACAAAATTGTTTTGTGTTTTCTCAGCTTTCCTCGGTGGCTCGTGTACTAAATGTACTCGTGCAAAGAAAAGAAAACAAACTGCTATGAGGCAAAAATGGCCTAAAGCCAATATTATTTATTTTCTGGGCTCGGGGAGGGTGACCGGCTTTCAGTGGTGGGAGAAATTCTCGTTTCTCAAACTGATGCCTCGGTACCGGTTAACCCTTTAATGACGAACACGCGGAACACGACGGATGCTTTAATTCAGGGAATTTCGTCTCCAAGGTACGCACATAGTAATTCGCGTGCGTATTTGTCTCCACATTTTCAAATGTCGGCACTTTTCCTGACGTCTCAAATTAATTCTGCGAACGCAATTTTTGATTTGCAAAAAAAGCCGCTCCCCCCACCCCCGGTCGGAGCGAGCAAACGGCAACAGCGCATCTCTGGCCATGTGACTTGAAAACGTGACAAGAGCGCAGTATCGTAGTTTTTCGCAGCTCCCGGGAGGAATGATACGTGAAATCGAGTCCTAGTAAGGGCATTTTCAGGTCTCGGCGGCCGCGGTCTTGGTGTGCTGGCCGTCGGACGAGGCGGCCACCTATCGAGGGCGCGACTTTGCTCTCGGGGCTGTTGCGTGTTCTGCCGGTTGCCGAATCTGACGGCCCAAACCCGGGGCCCCTCTCGCTTCCCCGCCACACTGAGTGGAGAGCGAGCGAGCAGTCAAGTGTGTGTGTGAGTGCACTTTAAAGTGCCTTATGTGCACGTTCGGTGCCGCGGAACCGCGTGAGTAGGCGCTCCTGGTGCCTGACATTCGGCGCGGCCCCGGTCGGCGCGCAAAGGCCCATCAACGGCCCGCCAAAATGGCTTTTCGGCAATGGGTGTACGATTTTTTGCAGCAGTGAGGGAGAAGCATGCGAGCACGCCCTTGCCCACCTTGGATCGTGACGTCACCCTCTCTGCTCTGATTGGCTTCAAAATCGGCAGCATGGGGCCGCTGTAAACACGTAAGTAGGCCGATTTTTCGGCCGACCCCACTCGTTACGCGCTCGAACGCCGTCGCTCGGTTGTTTCCCGGCGGCGCCATTGAACACGGTGTCGGCCGCCGCTTTCGGCCGCCCCCTGACCCTGCAATTGATTGCATCCCCCCACTCCCTGAGAGGTGGCTTGAAGCTGTATGCAGACATTTCGCCCAAGGTAGACTACTTCGGTACCTACAAAACAAAGAAAGCGTCATTTCCAAATTTCATTTTCCGAACTGCACCATTCATCCAATTATATTATTTTTTATAATTTAATAACCCATTATTTATAATAATAACCATAATAACAATGATATTATTATTGTAATAATAAAAAAAATGATAATAATAATACAAATATTATATTTTTTATAAATTTTTAATATTTATATATTAATTTTTTTTTAAATGTCAAAATTGTTATCGCGCCTTATCTTTTTATCGAGACGAACTCACTTGTTTATTTATTATTGGTTAGGCATTTGTTTGGGAACGTGACCGGTTTGATGGTATTTCGGCGGCGGCCGAAAAGCGCGATCGACAGGGAGACTGTGATTGATTTTTCTTTCGCCCCCGGCCGCCCGACCACGCTGGCACAAGACCGCATGGCTTGGCGTTCGGGCCAATCAGAGCTTCAGGTCGTGTGACGTCACGCTTGGCTGGCCAATGGCAGCAGCTCGCGTGACACGGGGCCCGGGCAAAACACCAGACAATGCCTTCGACTCCTCTCTTCTGGAGTCGGCACGTTGATTTCGGCCTCCACTACAGAAATTAAAATAAAATCAAAGCTATACGGCGATATAATTATTATATTGAAAAACAATAATAATAATGTTAGTGTTTTTTCAAATATTTATTGGTTATTTTAATTTTTCACCGGTATGTTTATTATTCTTATCAAGGTATCAGTTAATTTTATTTTTTGGAAATTTGATTAAACGTTTTGGGTTTTTAAGACGGAAGGGTAGCCACTCGGGAGGCACCCTAAATTTGGAACAGGTCGATGGATATCAGAATGCGGCTGCGTGGAGAGGGACTGGAACGGGGTGCGCGCAGCGTGGAAAGCTTTGGGGCAGTCGGTGCCTTTTTGCTGCTCCCGGTCGGCTTGCTTGTCGTCTTCAATGTGAGTTCCCTGCCGGCTTTTCCGTCTCTTGGCCCTTTCACTTTTCATTCGTAATATTCTTCGACACGTTCGCCCCCTCCGGATTATCTCCAGTAAATTCTCCCGCTTGATTTCCCTCTCAGAACGAACAAATCGCCCTCGGGATGCGACCTGAGAATCGCAAATGCGCCTCTCAAATTCGATCAAGGAAAAAGTCTGCGAAAGCTGCGAACGAAGGAAAACAAATAAAATTGGCATCCGTCCAGCTCAACTCTAAATTGCAAACACGTTCATACGCGCTTTGTTTTTTGTCGTAACTCAACTGCCGTAAATGCGTGTTGATTGTGTTCTTAAACAAAACTTACAACCAGTTAAATTAATATCGATTTAATTTCTTTTTGTGTGAATTGATGTTTTAAATTTCTTGTTCCAGGGCGGAAGATCGAGTGGGCAGCCTTTGTTGAGTGGAGCTGACAACATGAGTCTCGAAATTCTACTGGAGGCCGCTCTTTACCTTGAGTACCAAACAGAGGCTCAAAAAAGAGGTAAGAGAATTTTTATAATTAATTTTATCGAGAAGTCTGTAAAATCTGAAAACTCCCAATCATTCAAAATTTCACTCCGTATTCAAATTTTTGGTCTTTATTTGCTGCGGATTCGCGACTCCAAAATCAATGCATCCCGTCGATCCGTCTGCGATTTGCGCCTCCGCCCACGCAATCGCAGCCGAGACGGACCCGGACTGGGCTTCGAACCCGAGGCTCTCTCTGTCTCTTGGGCTCTTGGCAACAAATACATGCACGCCTGTGGAAACCACGCATGAACGTGCTCTCTCTAGATAGAGAGAGAGCGAGCGACGGAGCCTCTTCGGCTCGCCCGAATCGTTAGCCGTGCCCGTGACGTCACCTTCGGCGCGCACATGGCACGCTTTAGAGGCGGAGCTTAGCTTGCCACGTGGATGTCTGCGAGCGAAGCGGTTGAGGGCTGCGGCGGAGCGGCCCCTCCCGAGCCTGAGCTGCGCCGCTCGACGCGAAATCGCTCCCTTGTGCTGCTCTCTAGGAAACCCCGAACTTACCTTTTCTGACCCTTTCGCACCTTAAAAACAAAAAATGAGAACTTTATAATTTTAAATTAATTAATTTTTTGAAGGAAGATTTCTCATTTCACATTTAAATTTTATTATAATTTTAATAAATATTTTTAATTTGAGGCGCAATTCTGGGCGATTAAAGATAATTGCCTGAAGTGAGATAATTTTTTAATTTTTAATAAGTTGGCGCGGTGTGATTGGTGCTTGCGAGATTTAATGTGCGCGGCCCACAGAAGTGGCATTACCTTTTTTGTGATTAGATCAGCGTCACCCAGCAACAGGATAGAGCCATACTACACAATAGTGACTCACGGTGCTGCGGTTGCCTATTAAAGACGAAAGCTACAGTACAATCGCCTCGTACGCTCTCTTGAAATTATATTTCAGAGATTTGCTCAATTTTATGTAATTTAAATAATAGCACAAAAATTAGACTTGTTGAGAGCACACAAACAATTTAAGTAAACTAAAAAAATCAAAACTCATTGTCAGTTCGATTAATTTTTGTTGACAATTTTCCTTAATGTTCAAAGTCTTCTGCATTGAGAAGATTACCATAGAGAAATATCATGAATCATGAGACTAATTGATTTTTTTTTTTTTTTAAATATTTGCTAGTGTTGTGAAAGAGTTTCCAGACAGTAAACAAAATTTAGCAAAAAATTAACTTTTGATTAATACAGAAAAATTTGGCTAATTTAAGACACACATTTAAGAGTGATTTCAGAAATTGCAAATTCCTGCCCAACTGAGGCGCGTTTCGGTTGCTAACTCGCGAAAAGCGCTTTTGCAAAAATCGTTAGCCGCCGAGTTGCTTGACGAGCGGCTCGATAGGTGGCAAGAGCTGTGAGCACCAAGCAGTGAAAGCGGGGAGCACCAACACCAGCGACCGAGCTGGCTGGGTTCGTGGCACGGAGGTGATTACGAGCACCAGTTGGCGTTATATAACAGCAGAATTGAGCTGCAGGCCACAGGGGCCGTGCTGGTGCGCCTCATTTTGACAATGTCAGCGAAGGTTAAAGTTTTCGTTTTGCTAATCATGAAAAAAAAGTAGAATATACAAGCAGTTATTTTTTATCTTTGACTCACTTGACTCGTGCAAAACATGTGTGCAAAAACATGAAGAGATGGAATATAAAAAAAGAAGAAGAAATTGGGACCAAATAAATTAATAAACCAACATCAATGAAATTAATTCTAGAATATTTTATCAAATATTTATTTAATTTATCAACATAAATATTGTGTATCATTTTCCAAGATTTTTACTCTTTTTTTTGTGTGGCAACTTCATTTCTCGTAACTGTTGTTCAGTTCATGCGTAATTCACAGCTCTGAGTGAATCCGATATTGCGCGCTCTCAAAGTCTTTGAAAGGTGGTTAGTGTTGAGAATCGACGTCTCCTGTATGCAGACGTAATAAATTTCCTCTCTCGAGTTGCTGCCCAGCAGTTATTTGCATCCAAAGCGAGGAATCTGATAGTGCTCTCGTATTTCTCCTAATGGAAGAACAAAGCAAGGCTCTGTGTGTCTGTTTAGAGTGCAGTTGCCTTTCAGCCTTGAGTTGCCGCTGCAATAAAATGCTGCTACCTGACCTATGTCAAAGCGAAGCACGTAGAATTTACCGCACTACCAAAGTCTCCTATTTATTCCTCCTGCTTTTCCTCTGATTGCGTGGAGGAATATTATGATACATTTTTCGAAATGGCGCCCTGCTGTACGCAAACGGCTCCTCTATGGCCTCTCAATGCTTACAACAAGTCGACCTTGATTGCTGTAACGCCAAAGGGAGAGAGAGAAAGAGGTCTGCCGAATCGCAGCCTCTGTCAATTGAAAGAGTGTGAATTCGCACATGAGGGTACAAAATTCACGTGATAATACAGATAAATACTCCTTAGAATTGATTATTCTGAACCAATTCACATGAGTAATTTGGCAAATTTAGCTCATTTTGAGAAGAGTTCATTTGTATTTCTGGAATATTTTTCTGAAATCAAAATTAAACTATTAAAATTTTCAAAGAGAAGTGAACATAAATTCAACATTGAATTATTACAATTTACAATATTAAATAGTAAACTCATTTTTATTAAAGCGGAGTTCAATTTTTTGGAACTTTTAATTTTTCAAAACGGAAATTTAATTCTTATCGAGAGAATTTGAGATTCCTTAAAGTTGATGGCAGAATTGTTTTCAGACATTGTTTTTTGCTTGATCAGTTTCAAGACAAAATCTAAATTTGAATTTCAGTAACTTTCCTTAAAAACTCAACTGTTCCGGCACATCTTATAACTGTGCTTTCTTATAAAAGTCCATGTAAATTCAACACAATCATGCTATTGTATTCCACCTTGATAAAAATAAATTTTAATTCTATAAAAATTTTTTAAAAATTTAAATTTCATAAAGTTCTTTCTTAAAAAGTGTTATCTAGAAAAAATGCATTAAACCTATTCAAAACCATTTTTATCTTATTTATATTCAGGCAATAATAAAATCATCGCATTTGTTGCAAAGGGCCAATCAAGGGGTTAGAGACGGATTAAATGATTAATCTTATGTAACAATAAATTTTGTTTGTGTAACCGTATACAAGAGAAGCGTGGAGATAAGACAAATTATCAGCGCTGTCCGTCAGCCAGATGTAAATAAACAACGCTGCACACAATTGTGTGGATTTCGCAACCAGCGTGGTGCATGTAGTACATATCACGTGTGCGTCGGTAGGCCGGGCGTTTTTGAAACGGTCCGTGCCGATAAGACGAGCTAGGGGGTTTCATAAGAGTGGCGGGTGCATCGCTTGTCCTTGGGCTAATCGGCGCAACCGAGGCCCCATTGGACGACGAGTCACATGGCGCAGGCTTCGGCCGTCTGGTTGGCTCTTGCTCCACATGGTCTACCTCAATGTGACCTCAAAGTCACATGCACACCGCACCGCAACAACGCTCGCCCATTATTACTTTCAGTGTGTCCTGTTGGCAAACTCGCCGGCGCCGCTCATTGGCCACCCGTCCGTCCGCTCCATGCTTGCGTTTGCAATGCGGCTTTGCCACTTTACACTTTTTCGTATTTGTCAGCGGCGCGCACGCAATCCGCTGCTCCCTTCGCCGACCTTGCGGAAGCCACCCTGTGGAATTCGCTCCAATCCCTGAAAGCTATAAAAAAGTGATCAAAATTTAACGAACACACAAATATCAAAATGTCATTTATGTTGTTGGATTTTTTCTAACAAAAAAAAAAACTTACTTTAGAAGGCGCTTTTTGAGTGATGCGGATTTTATAATTCTCTATAAGGCCAAACGAAATTGCTCCTCTTTAAGGTTATTTTTGAAGTCATTTCTCCGTCAAATGACAAAAAATTGTTGATTTTGTTCTACCAATTCAAGAATTAAAATTTCATTCCGTGGCCGTAAATAACCATATACAGACAGCTCTCTAGAAACTCTTAGAAAAATGTGTTCATTGCAAACTCAGTCTGCCTTTTTGTGACAGAATAATTTGTAATCGTAACGTAATTCGTCCTACGCATACATTTAAGATTAAACTTTACAAACTTGTAAATTTAACTCTTCGGTATATCTCAAGAAAACCTTCATAAGTTTGAAAACTGACAGTCAGCATTCAATTGAGGAGATATTTTCTTAAAACCTATATTAAAGTAATGTTCGTTTTCTTCTTCATCATAGGTATTTTAGAACGTACAAAATTTTATTTATTTTGGTTCTTTTGAATTTGAAATTTGAGTAATATTGGTCCCACTAAATTCATTTTGACAAGTTTTTTCTCAATACTTCCTTGCTTAAATGGTGTATAAATTAAAAAAGAATTGAACTTAATTTATTTTTGATTCAGAAAATATGCCTTGAATTTGCGGGGAAATCCAAAGAAAGATGCAAAAATTAATATTATTAATGCCTGGATTCATGAAATAAACAACTTATGCAAAGTGCCTGTCCAGAGTGACAAGCGGGAAGTCTACTTTACAAAAATATGGCCATCTCCCTTAATTAAATTCTCCCCTTGCCCTCATGCGAGCTCATTTACGTCAAAAATAAATTTTTGTTCTGATCAGTTCATGTCCAATTATAGACGCAACACTAAATCTCGCATGTGCAAAATTTCGCATGTGCACGTCAGAACCGAAAATAGCCCTTGACGTAAACCTTTAGCTGCACTCGACTTTCCGGCGGCGGTGATGTTGCAACTTGGGGTCACGTGACCCTGGTCGTCGGTGCTGCATTTACGCAGAGAGTAGATTACTCTCCCTAGTTGAAGTGCACCGCGTGCTTGGCAAAGTGTTCATGCACGCCTGCCGAATACAACCTTGACTTGACTTTGCCCGGCGCTAACTTGTTGCAGCCGAGAGACGAAATCTGTGTGTTTGAATGATGAGATTTTTGCAGCACATAAAACTGGGTGGGTCGGAGAAAGAGAAAAAGGATTACGTACGATCATT